ATAGCCTAAGTAAGATTTATTTAGTCAATTTAAAAGTTTTCGTCTGTTATTAAACAGTTTGCATTTCCATTTTGCTCTATGCTGGACTCTATGTTCATAACTCGAGAAGGTATGATGTGTAGTAGTTTCCCTCAAAATCAGTTTCATCTCTAAAATTTGAATCTTTGGGCAATAATTTTAAATACCGCTTCCTCAGGCTTATTCGAGTATATAATTTTAATCCAATAAATCCAAATTACACGCTATTGGACTTGGGTTCCAGAGATTTTTGCACTTTTCGAGACAATTTATTGATGATTTCTGATAGTGGGCAATATCTGAACACATGAATAGATGAAATATTGAATTGAATATTTTTGTCCCAAGGCTGTTTCTAAACCACAAAATGCTTATCAAGAAACGTTGTGGGAAACACACCAGATTTGGTTTGGCAAATGTACCGGTACTCATAGTATGTTTTAAACCTCACAATTAGTAACATTTGCTTTCCAGGAATAAACAATAATGTCGAGGACGTTTTAACATTTTTGCATCTTTTTCAACATATGCAATTTCACCGCAAGCAAGTTTAAGTTTATCTGGAATGCGAAAAACCGGATCGGTCTTTTAATAACCAAATTAATTATGACCATATTCACCATTTATTTCAGCGGCTGAAATAGCCGTACCAAAATTTCTAAAAATTTTATAAAAAAAAATGAGTGAAAGAAAAAAATCTTGTACCGATTTTTTTTGTTTTTAAAACTTAAGGTCCCATTAATCGCAAATACACAAAGTAATTGTAACTGACTATATGTCCATTATGCGTATAAAAGTTATTTGCTGCATGCAATGAAAGTACTTGCTATTATACAGGGTATCCCATACGAATTGCACAACTTCCTTATTTTAAACAAAACACCCTCGAATATTATTGCATGGTGTAATGCGTCATTTAGTTTTACATCGGTTAGCTATTCCTTTCCCCACTCCTATTTTCTGATTTCTGATATGTTTTTGGTTTTATTTACGTCAAAGAAGTTGGGAAACTCTGGAACTGATATGTTACTTACATCACCTGATTTGAGGTCCCTGGAGCTGTATATGCAATACTGGAGTACAAGAAAAGTATAAAGCGTGCAGAACATTGAGAAGGAATTCACTGTCTCATTCCAGTTACACCATTAATAAGCTTTATAATTACTTTAAAAAGTGCTGCAAAAAGAGTTGCAATCGTGCAATCTGATAGAGCCTGTGACTTTCTACTCTGTTACAGAGAACCTATTATAATTGCAAAGTAAAGTTAATCTTTAATCATTCGAAGAATGGATACAGTTTTATAAATGCAAATCAATTTAAAAAAACACTAGATCATTCTTGTTTTCTATATAATTAGGCCGATGGTAAATATGAATATAAATGTCATTTTACACCTCTATAATATGCTACCATCAACGGTATCCACTACTCACATAAACAAAAATTCGGTTATGCTATAACGAAAAGCTTGGCCGATGAACGGTGAATATGGACGAATTTACAGAAAATAAGTGCGGTAAATGGCATTTGACTCACGAGTTTATTTGACACGAGCAGAGCGAGTGAATTAAAAAGTTTACCAAACCTGTTACATACTACACTTTTTCTACGACCGTTAGTTTACTGACATGGCCGTCAGAATTGACAAAAGTCAAAAATCAAGGCGTGGGAAATATCTTCGATAACATCCGATTGCTGCCAAACCTGTGCGGTAAAATCGCGGAAATGTCCGACGTGGCACGGATATGTGGGAAACAAAACTGACGTGGTAAAGTGACACTTACCGAACGCTAGATAGGTGAGTAAAAAGCAAAAAAAAACAATAAATGGCTGCGATCTAATTACATCTTGTACTTGCCCAAGAACGAAAGGTGTTCCTAGTAATATTCTCGGAAATAATAAAAAACAAAAACACCAAAGAGGCATGGATTCTATAGACTGTCTTTACATTTAGAAGTAACATTCAAACAACAAATTGAGGGGCCCCTGACAACAAAAGCTCTAGATTGTAGCATATTGTTGTCGAGATATGATTCCATTAAAGTCAATAAATCATTCTAAACTCCAACCTTCTGTAGTATACGCAGTACCTAAGACTTATCGGCAAGGTCCATGAAACCAGGACGATGTAAAAATATCATATACTAACATTTTTTTCTTTTCTAGAAGTCTCCCAAAGTTATAATTAGAAGTGGCTTAACAAATGTACTTCACAATGAAACTGGGGATATTGTCCACTCCTGCAGTCATTTTGAGTTTTCATTTTTTTTATGCCTTGATAATATCTTCCCCTGAGATGATATATAATATACTCGAAAATAATATAACAAATAAGTCACAAAATCGCGCAGTACTAAAACCGGCACAGCGAAAATTCGGAGGGAAATTAGCTGCTATTGCGTGGCATCGTAAACAAAATGGTGTTCCTCCCTCCTCGAAAGTACTGTGCCGTTTAACGTACCAATAATTAACGAATACCATAGAGAGAGGACACGCCTCCTAAAAGTTCTTCGCCGTTTCGTAACAATCAATAACGCGAAGGCTTTGACTTTTTATTGTCGGCCAACACTTTACGCAAAAAGGAGAAAAGAGACTAACAGAAAAAAAAGAGTAGTCGGTTCCAGTCCGGTGATACCACAACGACGGACAGTCGGTCGAGAGCTCATGCAAAGGTTCAGTGTACCACCGAAGGTAAAACATAATAAAATACAAAGTATATCATACTAAAGCAAGGACATCGACCCAATGGCAGGGCTTCCAGGGGCACGGATCGTCGGCTACACCGACGGCGGTGGCGGCGGCGGCGACGGTGCGGGGGCCGTGGCATCGCGTTATTTTTGGGATTCTTTGTTCCACTCGCATTGAAAACCAGAAGGTCGACAAATATTCGGTGTTCACTACAAATGTCTTTTCACTACACTGTGAAATCGATAATGCTAATTTAAAGAAAAATCTGTTACCTTGATAAGTTAAGATTGTTAGAGCGTTGATGCTTATTATCCAGTCATCATTCAGTATCAATGTTACATGCTGTTTCTGTGTATACCAGCATTTTGTCTTTCAGGATAGTACACTTTGCAGAAAAATACAAAAAAACGGCACTAAATGTTATAATAGTATGTATGGTCTGTTCATAGATATAAGAAAGTAACCAATTGCTTTTGAATGGGATTATCCTTACATACAATGCAACAAGACTATTATTTATTATTTTCTATTAGGGACCACAATTTTACCTGAATTTAAATTCTGAAACTTGAGATAATAATCTTGTTGCATGACCACTCAATCCCATTCAAAAGCAATTGGTCACTTCCTTATATCTATGAACAGACCATACTAGGGATCAAATAATATGATCATTGCCCCAAATATGTCACCCGTATCCTAGAGAGGGGTTGCTAAAAGGCAAAATTGAAATCTAAACGATTAATACCAATAACATAAGTTATAAACATATTTTATATTTTTCCGTAAAAAGGAATTTTTGCTCATAGATGGCGCCATGTTATTATTATTAGTTATTAGAGTTATTTAATTACTTACAACCATTTAACAGGATAATCCCAATTACTGGAATGGGTAACTAATAGGGAAATAAAAAAAATAGGAGAAAAAAACATAATAGAAGAAAAATATAGAAAAAAACTATAACATGCGAACTATAACTTTGAATAGTACCTACATATAATTAATCGAATTATTGTCGAATTTTTGAATACACATTTTGTAGGCTTTAAACTTTTTTGAACTATTATCATATGATAAGTTAACTACGATTTTATGAAATAAGACTTGGTCTTAAAACAAAAATAGCTTAGATGTGACCGCAGTTCTGACGTACTTAAGTACACCGCTAATTATTATGAAAGCATAACAAAAATTAATAATTCGGTTATTTTTAATCTTAAGCCAATATTGTAGAGAAACGAATATAGGAACTTTTATGTTCCATACAAGAAATGAAAACGTTGTATTTAAAAATATACAGTATGTGTGAATTTTGTCTTTCAGGATAGACAAGTAGGTAAGTATAGGCGTTACAATATAAAAAATTATAACAAGGTATGAAAACATTTTTAAAAAAATATACAGAGCGTTCAATTGCTTTGCTTTTTTATGACTTAGTCGGAAATAAGCTATTCAATTGTTTTTTTGCATTCGTCATCTCCCGAGACTTCTACTTTGCTATCCGACTTCGTATCGTAATAAATAGCAGTAACAGTTGTGCACTTAAGCTGGTGCACCGTGTATTCACGGTGGCACTAGGAACCCTATATAGTGTAAGTCAGCCGCAATTTTCTTTTTTTGATATAAACATTTCAGCTTACTTTAATTTTTGAATTTTTCTGAAAAGTCATATTGGCCAATTTTATACGTTGTTTTGATAAGAACTGTAGAAAAAAATATAGGTTTATATATAACCTAATAAAAATCGGATTAAAAATCCGAAACACTCTCAGACTCGGAGGCCTCAGATAAAAATGGCTAGGAATTCTATAAAAATTGAGAATAAAGTAAGAATAACCCGAGGAATCGCCTTATGACCAAATTGATTAATTTCAAATTAACTGAATGTTTTTAAATAAAGGTTAAAACTGTTAGAATTATTCATACCTATTACAAATATATTTACTTTGTTCGAATTTTATTTGATACGCCCCATAATAGTATAGACGAAGAATGTGAATTTACGGTGTACATAACCAAGTATCTTCCTAATAAATTATCGTTAATCAAAACGGATATAAACACTCGCGTCATACGAATCGGGGTCCAAACCGTAAGCAAAAAACAAATTTTAATTATTTTAGTTAGCCCTGGAACCATTTAAAAAAAGAAATAAAAAAAAAGTGTACCAATTAACACCGCTTTTTGACTCATGGTAGAACAAGCTGTTGTTGAGACAGTGGTTAAGTTATCCCAAACACGAGCCAAGAAACGTTTCAAAATAAATGAATCTCTTGCCCTTTGCAACTTACCAGACAACTCCAAAGGCTCCGTAGCCGATGGGCCTATCCGGTTGAACCTGTTCCTGTGTATGAGCCGGTGCAGCCGCGTACTGCGGGTGATAGTACGGCTGGGCTGCATGCAAGCCCCCTTGTTGGCTCCTCGTTGTGGGACCTGCTGTACCCTGCATCATGGAGACGGACATGGACACCCTGGAGTGGCAACTTGGCCCCGCAACAGCCATCAAATCCCAACCGAAAGAAAAGGGGGTGTTTAACTTAGCCTGGCAATCATTATACTCAGTTTAGTTCATACGGATTGATTGAATATAATATGTAAACGTATCAGAACGGAAAAACACGAAACTGCGTAAATGTCAAAATGAAGTTTTTTTGTGACGGTCCTGTTTTATTCAATCGACGAGCTCTTGTTCACCGAGACACGATAAATTCTCACGCACGTTACACGTTGTTTGAAAACTAATCCGATGGGGCAATTCACTTTTTGTATCCGAAAACACTTTCGACCTAGTCTACCTTTTGAACAGAGAACAGTGCACGCTAATATTCAATTAAATTTTACGCTATACACCTTAAGTTTATCACAGTTCAATTCCGGGTTATTGAAAATTTTGATAAAAACTTGGATTTGATGTTTAAATGCTGAGATTTTATGCAAACAAGCGGCGAAAGAGTACGTACACCCTCCACCTCGTTTGAGATTGAACTGAATTAAATGGCTGCGTTTTCTCGCTTCCAGTTGTGACTCCTCCAACGCGCAAGCGCGACAAACAATCAACAGCTGACTAGAGTCTCTCTTCAGGCAACGTTGCCGGTGGTAGTGATTTACCCCATGTGTTGATAAATAAAATATTAACATTTTGTAATTTTCTACTCGTCCTGACTTTTTCCCTTATGCTGGTTTTTTAAGATTATCTCGGGATTTATTATTAGATTGCGGTTTCTGGACAGTCATAGAATTCTCTCTAATACACATTATATAATAATTGGATTTTGCTATAAAGAAAACAATAACCATTTTTATCAAATAGCAACTGAAATACAAAGGGCTATACAAAAGCCAAAGGTTCTAGATCTTCAATTTGCCCTCCGGTTTCGCCAGTGAGCTAAGAAAAAGTAAAGCATAGGAAATAGGTATCTAGGAATACCTAAATTATAACCGTTTAACTGTCGCTAACCAAAACTGTCGAAAATTGAACACCCTTTCAATCAATTAGGTGCAATTAAGTCGGAAAATATTATAGCACGTTAGTTTTACTTTTCATTTAACATAATAAATATTTTTCTGGAACTGAAATGGAAAATGTCGCAACGTTGCATTCGATAAACGGCCGGTGCCTACCTTGGTAGTAGGGAACAGGGAACTGGCAGTTCGATCGCTATAGGGTTGGTTATAGTAGCGGAAGGAATGGCAAATAGGTCCATAGAGAAAAGGAGAGAGTCCAAGTCCAGGCATAAATTAAATAGAGGCAGGCAAAGAAAATTTCAAATGCCGGTTTATATTTATATCTACGAAAAGAGGACAGTAATGTTGCTGTCTGTACAGAGTGTACCCCTTAGAACATTGTTTAATTATCTATACTCGTGCAGTTACCCTTTCATTCTAACGCCATTTTAAAACTAAAATATATACCTTTTTTCGGAAGTCGCTATTTTAATAATGTTAATTTTTTAAATGATTTTTATACCTATTAAGTGTTTTGCACATTTTTAAATAACAAAAAACAAAAGAAAAATGTTTCGTGTTCCATAATTATTAACAAAGTGCGAAAAACAAGATTGATGTTCTTTGCATCCGTTGTCGCGCTGATCAACATCAATAGTAGAGTAGAGGACGTTATCCCTGAATCTGACTGGAAATAACTTCAAACTCTAAGAATGTTGTGTTTTATCAAGCACTGAGTAACCGCCAATAATATTAGTGTAGAGCAAGAAAATGAGAAATTCCGCTCAAATTGGTTGTCAACCATAGGCGTAGGAAACTTTGTGCAATTGTGCTGCGCATACCTCCATGTTATTGCGAACTAAATCCTATCAAACTTATATGGGCGCAAGTGAAAGGATTTGTAGCAAGACGCAACACGACATTCAAATTGAAATAAATACCTTTAGGTATTGTTTGATCAAGCCGTTCAGGAAGCCAGAGACCGACGAAAAGCAGTTCAGCATGTCATTAAAGAAAATGCGGGATCTTGACTATCTGATCGATCGAACCGTCACGTCGACCCTTTAATTAATTATAATGTCAAGAGGCGATGACAGTTCCTCCGATGACCAAGATTTTTTTATAATTTAATTCTTTCTTTTTTTTTATAATTTAATTCTGTTTAATAAAGAAAAGCGTACCTTAGCACCCTTTTACAATCTTTTAAACAAAAGTCTTTCCTTTTTATGAGTAGGTATCCTACCAAGCCACACCTACACTTGATGAAATGACAGAATTTGATAGTGAAATCAATACTAGATAATTAAACCGGCTTAAGTATTCGTTGGGCCACTCTTAAGTCCCTGTGCATACCTAGTATCGTATGGATGAGATATAAGAAGTATATCATAAAAATAATCATTCTTATATAATATAGAAAACTAGTTTATCCTTTTGAGTTAAACAACAATTTGACAATTTAACATTAACTTCTTAATGCAGTCATTCACGAAAATCGTAAAAACTAAATTGAAATTTTCACTGACTGTTTTATGATTCAAAATTCGAACTTTGAGTTTGATTATTAACTAGAAAGTAAGAAATTGCGTGTTACTTATCCCAGACGATACCTCGAATCTCAAACAGGGCATGTCGCAGGCGGGAGGCTGTTGATGACACTTTCACCAATCACTCTGCTGTTTCTGTCTCATCCTGACACATCTTGTATGCGACATGCCCTGTTCGAGATTCGAGAAAACCCCCAGAAACATATTTGGAAATTTATCACTTTTTCTGCAATAATCTGAAACTCAATGCAAATTGCAAATACCAAAACGCAGCGTTATGCTATTTTAATTTTTAGATGCAATGGGGCTTTTGCATTAAAAAATTGATTCATTTTTTTACAACTTGACTAATGAAAAGTTCAACTTGTAAAGAATTTTTAATTAAATTTGCTTCCGGTTCCTATGCGAATATCTTAAGAATTGTTAATTATATTAGGGATACGTGTGTTTATAAGGTATTGATATATGTAAAATGCTCCAGACAAATCTTTTAGACAAGTTCCTAAGAATGAGAAAGGATAAACAATACTTTAACAGAAAGTGGGATTATTTTTACTTATGTTTTATTTATGTTAATAACAGAAACAATATTAGACGCATTTTTTTACCCTATTCCCAGGCTTTTCCACATTCTTATAATAATAAATTCTTAATATATTATCAAAATTACAATATTTGGCGAAAAAATTCATCAGCAATATTTTTTTTCGCGAAAATGACTATTTCAATGAATTTAAAGAATCTTCCATATTTTCCTCTTCATATTTTGATACAGTAAAATTTTAAAGCCACACTTCAACAATATATGTTTCATGTGATGTGTTACCATTGTGCTCATGATTATTTTAAATTGTATAGAAAGCTAAGTCACTTAATATATATGGATTATTTTTTAAAAAATGCATGAAAACATGCCCCGTTTAAAGACAATCGATCCAAATGTGTAAAGATTGGCGAACGTTTCTCTGGTTTCTACAAATACGCACCAAATAATAAAATATTCTTAAAATCATATTCTTAGGATGCTTTGCACTTTCTTTGATCTTTGTAAAGAAAGTACCTACGCGTTAAGTACATCAAATCGTTGCCAAAATGCAGTCACACAGAGGACATTGTCGGTTTCTTTGTTGTGAGTTTTGTGAACTTTGCAGGTAGATGCGTAGGTAGACGAAACGCGAAGGTTTTTGTGACTATTTAGAGGTCAGTGTACAGCTGCGATGCAGGGTGCTGCTATCGAAACAGGTAAATTCAGAAAATGAGACCTAACAAAAGATCTAAACCAGCTCTAACATACCTGCTTTGCCAACATTTTGAAAAAGGAGAAAAAACGAGAAGCATCTTAATTTCCTAGCAAAATATCGGTATCGACTTATTCTTTCTTTTTATACCGAGCGTTTTTATTTTATTTTTTTCTTTCTTTTTGTGAATTCCTGATAAAATTGAAATTCGGAACTTTTACATTTCTACATAAAGTATTAAAATAATTTCGATTCTTTATGGAAATATTATCCGATCAATCGATGTATTACCTTTTCCTTCAAACAATCCAGTAGCACTTACTGATCGTTTTATTGATTTTAATTTTCAGAGTCGAATCTGTTATACATACATATACTGCTACATTTCGCAACAGGAAAAGTATTAAAATATTTATCTGAAGAATAGATATCAATAAATAAATGATAGAATTCAAACTATTCCAAAAATAGTGCAGTCAATTATTTAGATTGGGATACTATACCAAATGCTTAGGAACTCTGGTTAACTACCTTATTATCACACGGCTTTAGAAAACAAAAAACATTTTTTTTTAGAAAATCCAGGGAAAATTTCATGTTTAAGGTTCGACTGAAACACCTTTCTTGGGTTAAACAATGCATGAATGTAAAAGCTCTACTTTGCAATCAATGTATATTTATTTACCGACTCTTATTCTTTTTATTCTTATTTTTCTTAAATGCTACAATATTTATTTCAGCTATTCCCTCTTAATAGAAACCACGGCAGAATAAAAATTCCTGCTTAAAAAACAACAAGTAAGCGAAATTTTCTGTTAATGGGACTTAACCGTTAAGGCGACAAAACAAAACCTGGCCTTCCTAGTCAAGTTCATTACGCGGGTGCTATTATAGTAGTAGTAAAATTGTATATAAAAATAGCGACTTTTCACCAATACCAAATTTAAAAATGCGGAGAAAAAATTGTTTCTGACTCAGATATCAAACTTCGGTTACGTAATGAATTGTTTGTTTGTGCATTACAAAACTTATCATTTGGCACTTAGTGTGGCCTGGGCTGTACCTTACATCGGTTACTTGTGAGTGAGAGATTATATGGGAATATATTTTGTATTAGTGAGTTTTTGGCAAATTTTAGTTTGTGCCTTACGAATAATAAACAAATCAATTTACGAAAGTTTTTAAACATTTACCTTTATCTGTAAAGAATATTTAAAAATATAGTTTTGAAAATATAGAAAAAAATTTATTGAAACATTTGCTTCATCTGTCAAAATTGACATTTTTCATAAAAAACTAAGTTATTTATTTCTGAAAATATCGAGAACATTTTATTGGAACAGGTTGTTTTGCTGATTTTTTATTTTAAATAGATGGACTGGAATGAATATTTCAATAAATATTAAGTTAATTACAATTTCCACAGTTTCTTCTTGATGTTCACTTGGTCATCCACTGGTAGGTTAGGACCTACTAACTCCATCTACTGCAAAACTGCAGTTTCATATATATATATATATATATATATATATATATATATATATATATATATATATATATATATATATATATATATATATATATATATATATATATATAATTTTCACCTATTGATTCACGGATTGAAAAATGTGATGACACTATATTCCGGGATATCATCCGTTCGCTTGTTGAACTCCGACTGGAATCCTGCAGACGTTTCGCCAAAATCTCACTTGGCATCTTCAATGCTCGCGCCCCGTGTTCGAAGTGTTTTCGGACGCGAGCATTGATATATATATATATATATATATATATATATATATATATATATATATATATATATATATATATATATATATATATATATATATATATATATATATATATATATATATATATATAGATATATATATATATATATATATATATATATATATATAAATTCTTGCTTTTTACATAATATGAACTAAATAATTGTACATGAAGATGAAGAACAAGGATGCGTGTTGTCTCCTACACTTTTCAACTTTATTCAGGGAAAATTTTGCAAGAAGCTATATCTGAAGAAACAACGGACGGAATTAGGTATAAACGGTGAACTCAATAAAAATATGCGTTTTGCCTGTTAATAGCCCAGAGTATCGCGGACCAATAGAGAAGAATGCAGAAAATCGTCAATAGCCGTAAAGTAGCTAGTCTTATACTTAATGTCAAGAACATCAAGAAAAAAAATATCTCACATGAAATAAAATGCAGAATAGAGAGACAAATTGAGAATAGTATATAAGAATTTAAAGTTAATATACAGTCACAGATATTTTCTTCCAATTGTTACAAAGAAACTACTTTGTGATTCCATCGTTTTGTCACAGTTCAATCAATGCTGTGGTGTGTAGGCAACCTGCTTGAACGCAGAAATTACAAAATTCCTGTTTGCGGCTTGTTTATGGAGTTCGCCGACAGGATCATATTTCTCCATACTTGGCTGTTTCGGGTTGACTTAACATGTGCAAAAGGTTTAGGTTTCACATTAATTAAGTACCAATCTCCTGAATATCTTTTTAACAAAATCACTTTTTGGTAAAGATGTTCATGATTTGCATCTAAGAAAAAAATTTATATTGAGAATACCACAACATCGAAAAGAAACGTTTAAAAGATCGTTTTCTTATAGCACTGCACATACAATAAATAATTTAAGTCCCTTCGATTTAACAATATCAACCAAAACTTTTAAATACCGGTATACAAAATATCTTCTTGTAACAGCTGCAACCTGCCTGTATCGAAAAACCACGCTGCCGTTTACCCTTACTCCCTCCTATATTTAATGGATAATGTAATATAAACTCCGCGTAACATATTTAAATTTGTTTATTTGATACTTTTTTTTCTTGTTTTTAGGGTAATTTGGTTAACATCAAATTGAGTCTTGAACCATCTAATATTTTCTAGTATAATTATATTTGGCACGGCAATACATATATTTATTATTATTATTGTATTATAACAGTTGAGTTAGAGGTGCAGTTACAAATGTACCGAAAGTAATCTGCTCTAAAGATATTAACATCAGACTTAAGAACAAGTTGGCCAGATGTGATTCCTCCCTATGGACTGGAGTAACGAACAAAGATAACTTAAAAAGACTTCAGGCGTTAGAAATGTGGGTACAGTACAGCATTCCTAGAGTTTTTTGGGCAGAAAAAAAAGGAGATAGAGGACATTGTAAAAACAGAGAAGCATCATGTTTGAAGAACTTAAAAGAGTAAACAAATAGAATTATTTCGAGGAAACGCATCAAAATCAAGAATCGCCATGATGATAGGCAACTTCCTAAACAAGAAGTAGCAAACTAGCATTAGTTAATTTAAAGAAACCAGGGTACTGGGTCAACACTGTTTAAGAGGGTAATGTATTTTCTAAGAGAAATACTGTTTTGGTAAATTAACAAAAATATATTAAAATTGTAAAACAAGTTTATTGTTTAACATTACACCTAAATACATTAAATCCAAATATGACCACATGTAGGTATAATGCCGAAACAAAATATTTTTTTGAAATATAAAATAATAAAGCTTTCCAGTTTTATCTCTACATAATTTAGTATCACGTTCATCAAAATGAATTGCACAGTCGTTCAAATAAACTAAGTACACTCACCAAAATTTCAAATGTTTGACAATAACAGTCGCATACAGCGCCTTCTCATGTACAAATTGTTACTATACAGTAGAACCACAATAGCGACAAAAAAGTGGAACATTATAACTTTGATTGAATATACTTGTCATATGAAACCTTTGCATAAAAACTAAACAAAAAGAAAGACCAGTTTTTACAAAACTGATATGACTGATCAATTCCCTGTACAATTTGTATAATGAGAATAAAAATTATCTCTAATATGTTTACATCACATCAATAGTACATTTTTATGAAAGTTCGAATCCTGTATTACAGGTAACTGCATATCTCAACTTCTCTCTAAGAGTACTTTTCTTTTGATAATTTGGCAACTTCAGAAGGTTAAAGCAAGTCGATGACGTCGGAAGTCTATTTTGTGGATCCTTTTTTCGAATTGTAAAAAATCCCCTAAATACACTACCTGCAAGTTACCAGCATACCATAATATTTTAGTAACCAAACCCAGATTTGAATAAATGGACGAACAAAAAAAATATAGCTATGGATTTTTATGGTTGTAGAATGGGTCAAGATCAAAGACATTATATTCAAAGGAGACACGACACTTCATTAATAAAATATGTCGAAACCAACAACCAGCATAAACAAATATTGTAAAATAAGTTGCTGTGCAATGTCACTAGAGGCGTAGCTACCAATGAAAACTGAAGTTAGGGTGATTATAAGATAACATGGTTATTCCATACACTAAAGAGCGCAAAAGCATTTTAAATAACTGTTTAATTAATATTTCACACTTCTCAAATCGGTGTCCCAATCCCAAATGTCATAAATCCCAAAGCACCTGCCTTCTCTTCTGATTTGAATAGATCTGTGGCCCGAAATAAATAAATGGTTGTTGGCTCTCCTGGATATCATGCCTTTGGTCAAGATGACCACAAAATATGAATGTTAGTGATCTGAATAGTCTCATTATGACTTTCATTCTTTTTTTTCAATTTAATAAAAATAGTCACATACCTATAGTATCTCCAGTATCTTCATCATCCCCAACTTCAACACATCTTATTGAAAATGGGGGTTCCAGATGAGCAAATCCCAGTAAAGGTGGCTTGGAACAACTAGTCACAAACTGAAATAATGAATAATTAAAGAGTAACCAGGTAGAGGATGGCTATGCACTTAAAAACTACAAAGCAATTCCAGTATCTCTTAGCAAACCGTTTATAACAAACAAGGCATTCAAGCTTTTGTTATAGACAATTTTCAAAAATTAAAATTAATATTTTGTAATCGTTTTCAAATTAGAGAAAGTTTACTTTTGAATACAATAAACCTAAAAATTGAAATAAAGGCGTAAATGTAAACCATCTATATTCATAAAATGTCACACACAAGTTTCATTCATATAACTATCATATTGTGATTTTGACACGATCACAACGATCACAAAAGCTTAGAAAAAAATGATATAACCGTTTAACTACTAAATTAACCAAATCTTAAAACAAAAGGAGTAAATTGTAAAAAACAAACGGAAGTTATTATAAATAGACTTTATAGCTTACTGATTAATAATTAGGACATTAGGAATACCAAGCAAAACAAAACAATCATAAATATTTTAAGATCTAAGATCTATCCAAGACCTTATTACGCACCGAATAAAATTTAAGCAAATTACTTACTTTTAGAAACATGCCCCTTTCTTCATCATTAAAATCCTTCTCCAAAATATCCCACAGCCACCCAACTACTCTGTGTGAATCGTGAAATCCACCATAATACTGACAATTCTTTCTCAAATCTTTCAAGTCAAGCGGTGCGTTATCACCTGATATTAGTCTCTGAAGCTAATGAAAAATTCATTTTTTTTTATAATTTGATCAATAAATATTAACTTGCCTCAGGTGTGGAAAATAATGACAACCAATCAGGATTAATAATGGACCTAAAACCCCTTATAAAAGCTGCGGTTTGATCTTTGATTTGCACATGCATCCGAAAATGCGCCATCAAATGGATGTAATTTATTCTAAAAACAATACAAAAAAGAAGTAAACTTTAACAGAATTTAAATCAATAATTTACATATTTTCTTTGGTTACTGGTACAGCTTTTCCTCCAGGAACTAATTCATAAGTGACTACTTTTCCCATATGGTCTTCGTCTACACTAAAAGTTAAATTTAACTGAGAAACATCATCTTCGTAATGTTTTACATAACTGAGACTTCTGTAGAGGGCCGAATCTAATGAAGGTAGTTCATCTACACTACTGTACATGGTTTGCGACGTTTGACCGGAAACCTAGATTTGAGACAAAACTAAAAAATACATCAAAAAATCATCAATGTTATATACTTGGCTAAGAAAAAATGAAGCAAATGGCACGTCAACAACTATTCCTTCATACACTGCTTTGCCCAACATGCGTCCGACAAATTCAAAGAGCTGCAGGTGATTATCCTGCAAGTGCGAAGTAGGAGATGGATACAAACGTTCCTCGCTTGTCGCCTTGAACAGATTCAAAGAGGGATCAAACACCCTCTTGATACTCTCCTCGAGAAATTCTTTAAAAACTCCGTCTTGATCTATGCCCGCCTCATCTAAACCTAATTCATTTATAAACCTTACTCTTATTACACCCTTTAATGCTTGGGACGGCAGGAGAGCCAGTTGTCGATACCCATCTTCTACAATGCGATTCCTAAAAATTTTCTTTTTTTATACAATACAAAATACTAGAGTAACAGGTAGTAGATCACTTTCGGTTTTTTAACGGCTCAGATGTTGGCAGTCTTTCATGTGTAATTTTTAATACAAACTGACTCATTTCCTCATATAATCTTTCTTTAAACCATATTATTTAGTACATTCTTCAATTCACAATAAAAAATGTTCTTTGAACCAAACTTTCTACTATTTCCTATACTAATATGACTTCAGATGATATACTGAAATCAATAATTTTCTGAAAATTCAGAATTTATAATTATTATTTACAACTTGCCCCTTGGCAGGACAATCCTGATTTTTCACAATTTAGACTTTTAGAATTCAGTTAAATTTTATTTATGAAAATCATTGTTTTGCGTTTTAAGAATTCTTCAATTGGTTTTGCGTTCTAAGAATCCTATGGGCTACAGAGAATAACATATTGCTTTTGCTACCCAGTTAGCAAGCGAATTCAATAAACAACACATTTGCCATTTACCATAGAAAATTAAGGTAAGTAATTTATTTATAGATTTCATAAATAGATAAATTTTCTTAAACTTAGCTTAAAATACTCTTGTAGTCTTCATATTTTATATTGATGACAAAATGTATATCACCGACATTAAAATTAAAAGAAATTTTAAAAAGAAATATACGAACAAAATTTTTCAAATATTTTAAGTCGATTAAACTAAACTATTTTTATAAATTGTAAATAATAAAATAAAAAAAATATTACGATATTATTTTTATTCTGTATGAAAATTTTTGTTGATACACTCCTTCAGAGTTGTGAAGCTTTGCACATCTAAAAATCTGGTCATCTTACCCCTTGCTGTTGCAGTTTCCTTAGCTTTGAGAAACTTTAAGTACTGTTATTATAATCGAAACAACAACAAATTTGTAAGAGTAAGAACCAGTAAGAACCAGATCCTTCGTCAAAATGTAAAAAAGGCGCATTGTATTAACGATAATTTTAATGAATATAACTTAAAAACACATTTTTTTTATTATTTAAAAAATAATAATTAGAATACTACCTGTGAACAGTTATTAAAGTTGACTGCGGTGAAGCGCAGGCTGATTCCGTTAATCCTAGAACCGTTTTCTCATTCGTAATATATTTTCTAAAGAGTCTAACCCTATCTTCGTGGGGTATGATATGTGGCATCATCTGCAGTAGCAATTGTGGCGCTCGTCGTCCTTTCTCAAGGTCGACTAAGAAAGCAGATACTTTAATATCTTTAATCAACCAGTGCCCGGGTGGAGCGTAACTGCGCCAACAATTCCTTTTGTATAATACTTGCAAAAGTGTATGTAGGGACTCAAACAGTGAGTTGTTTTGAATGGTTTTTATATCTGAAAACCCACTGGAATTGGTAATGCTAAACTTATATCGTTGTCATGCTTACCAAAAAGATTACCTAATACCGCTTTATACAAAAAAACATTCAGAAAGTTAGACATTGCTACAAAGTCACATAAACGAAATGGTTCTTGTTTCTCATACATCTCCATATCATCCAATAATCTGAAATCGGAACAGATAACTCGAAGACATTTTTTTTTGCTACAAAAAAACTACTTACGTAACATAATGAGTCATGCAATCCCCAAAAAGTTCTAACATTTGGAATTCGGGGGCTGAACATTTCGTGTTAAATGCCAAATGGTCCAGAAATGTTTTCAAACCACAATTTGGTCCCAAGGAACAAAGAAATAGCCACAAGTCATAAAGGACTGTATTCTGGTAACACAATCCTGTAAAGTTATACACTGTTCCTTATGTGATATGTTATTGTGCATAAAAAAAAAGTTGTCGGTTTGGAACGATCTATTCATTTATAAATTAAATTTTGGGATTTAGTTAGTAAACTTGTAGCATATTAATTGGTTTAACTTAAAAATTGACTTAAAAAATTAAACGCCAAATTTAATAATAGTAAATGCAGGTAGTTATAATAAGTTATAATAATATAAAAAATCGGTGACCGTTGTCCCACATTTGCCCTATCCAAACACTTGTGACCAAATCAGTTAGGTTTAAATATTAGGCTGTATTAAAAATTATTGTATTAATGTTAAATAGATAATTATATTAAACAAGTGACTCACAAAATGTTATCTATGTTACTATATGAGGGCCGTCTAAACTTAATAGCAAAATTTGATCTAATGCTGTAGTAATACCGACCTGTCAAGATATCCATTTGCAATTGGGTAAGAGTATTCAAAGCTGTATGATACATGGAACAAATCAAAACCACTCTGTGGACTTCCGGGCTTCCTAGAGCCCTATAACTCTTCTGGGCAGTACTTCTATTTCCCCTACTTTCTAGCATTTTTTTAAAGAAATTTGTCCCTCCAAAAGCAGTACTTTGGGTGGGACTAAGAGGAGCAACGGGAGGCTCCACTCCAGCAACCAATTCCGACAAAAAATTACCTAGAGCAGAATTTATGAAACAAATTTTAAATTTTCGATAATTTGTTTACCTAATAAAATTTGGAGTATTTCGACATGCCACAGCAAATGTAATTGAACTTTAATATGGGGTATAGCTGAATGCAGCCCGGGATCCATTGCTTGAGCAAACCAACCCAAAACAGGATGCCAGTGTGTCAGCGCAGACTGTTTGCTTACAACATAGTTCTGACAGCTTTCTAAGAGACCAGTAACTACAACCTACAATTTCACGCGAAGAGGGCAGCGAAATTAAGGTTCAAGTTTTCAATTTTAAAATTTATTGCAGTGGGGACGTATGACAAAGCCAGATCAATATATTTAGAGGGCAAAGCCTGAGATCTGAACCGTGAGGTAATATTTGAAATTGTACATACAATTTAGAAAATAAAAAACTAAAATACAACGGAATTTTACAGTTTATCGAGACCTTTTTAGTCCAATTTCTGGGTTCTAAAAAGAAAAAAAAAATAGTTCATACATTATTTGAACTTCACGGCAATTTTTTATAAGGGTTGTGAGTCCTGAGTCTAGAATGTCCCAAATAATGGTGAAGACTTGCCAGATATATTTGCCAAGGAACAAAACATAACACCGCCTCTTTTTCTGAACAAAACCTCCCTTAAGCGACAGAGTTTACATTTGTTTTTTACATTTTGACTTTGCATGCCAGTATTTATTGCATCTATCTTTCACTACGTTTCAATGAAACAAAGCGACGATTTTTTAATGTTAGGGAAGCGAAACAACATTTCAATTGCCAATAATTAATTACATATTAGAAACCGTTTGTTCTGATTCTGCGAAAACTAAACCTGACACGAAAATTAAAAAAAAAAGGTTGAAATAGGTAAATTAAGTAAAAAAATCTGCTGGTTTAAAAGTTTGTGCTAACTCAAATGGAACCAGGCTTACCTATATAAAAATATTTTCATGCAAATGCACCTAATTTTTTTTCATTTAGCTACGCCTGATAATGATTAATTGATTTAACTTTGTAAATCCTATTGTGTGAAATTTGTTAAAAATTTGGAGAAATAACCAAAATAACTTTGGAAATATCAATGTTTGTCCTAAATATTCTTTAAAAATTTTCTTAAAATTTTTAAAAATGGCATAATAAGAACGCCTAGGCTGTTTTAGTGTATACAACACATCCCTATATTTCCGGCCAACCAATGCAAATTCTGGATACATTTTTATCAACTAGTCAGTTAATTTAAAAAAAAAAAAAATTCTCCTGCACTGGTGCTTGACGAGTCTAACTTATTGAAGAAACCAACAGGATGATACGCAAAATGTCAAGTTTGATTCATCGACTGAGGCAAGAAAAACAAATCAGATTTGTAAAAAGTTAAAGTTTTTTGTGGAAAAAATTTTTTAAGCATCAATAAATAAGTAAAGCCTCACTCCTAATATTTATTAAATAAATGAAAAGCTGATGTTAATACTTATGTGATCCTAAGAGTATATTTCCCCCAAAACAAAAAAATCTTTTTGGATATGTTTCATTGGTCCAATCCAAAAAAGTTTTTGAAATTCGTAATTATTAAAGAATTTTTTTTTCTCTTGGGGAAGTGTCACATAAATATTACATTTAGAAAATTACCTAATCTGAATTTAGTAGAAACAAAGTTTGTTTCAGTGAGAAAATTATCTTACCGTAAATGTTGGAAAACACAAATTCTTCAAAGTAGTATTTCTTTCAATGTAACCCAATTGAATTAAATTAGCCAAGAGGCATAAGGCATAGCTTCCTTCCAAAGTATTAAAAACAATACGCATAGATTGTTGACTAGACAAAAGTTCCAAACTTCTAGTAAAAATCTGATGCTGCTGCAGTGTAGTTAAAGACTAAAACAAGTTTTAAAAAATCTATATAGATTGTTTTATTATATTACAATCAGTATTACCTCAGGTGAAAGTTGTTGCAAATGATGTATCAATCCAGGAACTGACAGAACATTTATTAAAAATATTGTCATAAATTTATCAGAAAAACTAGCAGATATTAATGGTCTTAAAGCAAGTGTTAATATAGCTGTGATTGAAACTGTCTTGAAAGCTATCTTTATCCGTCCCAACCCTCGCAGAAGGAGATTCTTAAAAATATTAGATTTACACAAAAATATAGGATCTTTCATTATAGTAGGTACCTTGAGCATTAAATAGAATCCCTTATGAAACAATTGACCCATCAGATTGGAACACAACTGATTTAAGCCACTCTTCAGAACTTCCATATTTTTATTCTTTAAAACAATCCAAGTGTTTGTACTTGTAAAAGCAATGAGTACATGTAAATATAGCACAATAAGTTTCATGTCAAAGGTAAGTTCAGGTTTTAAATCATTTAAATAGTCACAGCATTTCCATAATATATTATTCATATGAGAGATCCATTTTATCACATGTTCTTTGTTTAAAGCGACGCCAACATAACTGAATTTTGGTGAATCTGAATCAAGTGATGCCACCAAATATCGACACAATTTGGCAAACCTTTCCTTGTCTCTTTCTTTTCTCCATATTATTAATAGCCTTAGACTCTGATGGTAAATTTCTAATGCTGGTTTAAGCTGCTGCTTTGTAAAATTTTCTGGTAATTCTGGTACCACTGAATCAAATTCCTCTCTAAAACAAATAATGCATTAGCTACTATCACATTGTAAAATAGGCTATTACAATATGTTCTTCGAGAATTTGAGTCGTTGTAACCATCCTCTGATATTTGATTGTATCAACACAGCAGCATTTTCTCTTCGTTTTTCCAAAGCCCTTTCTTCTCTGGCTGCTTTAGTTTGTTCCAAAAAACTGCCCTTGGAGCTCTCAGCTTTGTGAAACATTGTTAAAACGCACACCTAAATGGGCTCAGTTTTGTAACTCTTTAATGGGAACCGCATATTTTCGGTTAGTTTCCATAAAAACTAAGATTTGTTATGTTATTCTTTTAAAATAAACGTCACTTTCTGTTTGATATTTATTTATCTGTTCATCACGTGTCCATGTGACATTTTCATTTTTAGTGGTATGCAACCAACTATCTTCATGTCTATTGTAGCTCCGAGATTTGAAATCTAATCAACGATGCAAAGTATTTTAAATTTTACTTATAGGATAATTTTTTACATCATTTTCAGTAATGTATTTGTAAAAGTCAATGAAGATATACTTATATTTAAAATGATCTATAATGCCTGACTGGTGGTAGATGCAACGGGCGCAAAACGTGTCGCCGGGTAGTTCGAACGGACACTGTGAAGATGTTAACATTTGATGATATGTCACTAGTCAATAGAAAGACGACGAAACTGTTTATAACCCTTTAACAGTTTTTTTTTCGGTCAACCAGGTGAAGTGGTGTGCACAATTTTACCTCGGTCCGAGAAAATTTTCATTTTTTTGACGTAATTCTAGTCTTCAACTGAATTTTTCGGTCTGGGTGAGTTTTATATTTAGTCAGCCGTTAATATTTGCTTTGGTTTGGTGTCGCAGTTCGCAATAATTTAGCGCTTTTCATATCATGGCATGTGCTTCGGGGGGTAAAGACCCCCCTGATAGAAACGATCGTATCGTAGTTAATAATCCGATAGTGTTTGCAAATGATTTTGATTCCTTTCAAGCTCAACTAATCTTGTCCCAAGCTTCTACCTCCTCTAGCAGTGGTTATTCATCAGCCTTGACGCTTTCGCCTTTAGCTAAGAAAACAGCACATGCTATCGCTCAGCATCAATACTTCTTAGTACCCACTAAGGAGGAAATAGATTTATTGGAGACAGAGTTACAAAAGCTTAAATCTGTCTTCGTGGAAGATCAGGATGCCCTAAACGAAATTGCAAGAATTTCAGTCAACATAAGGAGAACACTTAACCGAAAGTATAAGTATGAACTTACAGACCAGGGACCATTTCTTATCATAATGGAGGGAATAACTTCTCAAGTTGGAAACATTCACCCGATGAATATTGGAAAAATTTTGCACAGAGCTGGAGTACAAGGTATAACAAAAATCAATAGAAAAGGGGCTAATAAAATTGGAATTGAATTCAGAACATCAGAGTATGCTAATCAGTTTTTGTCAAATGAAAGTTTCAGTTCTGCTAGAGGCTATAATAGGTACATTCCACAACGTCTTGTCACTTGTAGAGGACTAATCAAGGATGTAGGGGACCAAATTACGGAAGAGGATTTTTACTCAGAAGCGGTAGCTTATACAGGAGAAGGATCCCGGGCCAGGTTGATTAAGATATTAAATGTAAAAAGAGTCTTAAGAAGGAAGAAAATACTTGCTATTTCTGGTGAAACAGTAATGAAAACCATCCCCACAAACGATTATATTGTAACATTTGAAGGCAAATCATTACCCCAAACTGTAAATATTTTTAATAATGAAAGAGAAGTGGAAAAATATGTTAACCTGGTTATAATGTGCGTCAATTGTTGCAGATTTGGACATGTCAAAAATAATTGTAGAGGCAAGCCTCGTTGCGGTTTTTGTACAGAAGATCATCTTATGTTTGTTTGTGAAAAAAGAGAGCAAGCAATGAAAAAAATGAAATGCCCTGCAGATCATCTTAACAATCTGACTAAAACGTGTAAAATTCCAAATTGTGAAGTAAATCCAAAACCAAGCTGCGTAAATTGCAAGGGACACCACACTGCTACTGACTGGGGATGTCCCGAATACAAACGGCAAAAACAAATTAACGAAACCATGAGCTTCTACAACCTTTCTTTTTATGAAGCAGCTAAACTGCATCCACGGCTAATTAATGCAAACCAAGGCTTTACCCGAAAACCAGAAGATTTTCCTAGTTTAAATAAAAAAACTCAGAATAAACCTCCGCATCCAACAAGTCCTCAGGGCTGTTCCTCATATACATCAGTACTTAAAAGAAAACGGCCTGACACCCAATTTACCAAAGGGTATGATAAAGTAGCCCATGAACTAACTTTGTTACCCTCAAGTGCAAGAAGAAAAGTCTCATCTATACAAGTAGTTGAAAACTCGACATCAGAGTCGGAAATGGAAGTAACTCCTGTAGGAAATGGCTGGGAAGAAGTATGCAACAAGTTTGAAGCTTTCAAAAAAGACGTTATGTCAATAAAGGGTATGGATGAAAATTGTGTCAACAATATCAAACAATATTTTGGTTCATTTGACCTACGGAGGGGGGGCGGCTGCGATGGCAGCGGTTGACCTACAGGGGTTAGAAAAAGAAAAGGTAATCTTATCACTAGTTTTAATCTAACAGTAGTTTTTACGTAACAAAACTAAGTTTAAGTTTTAGTCACAAGCGTTTTATAGTTGAGCTATAATGAATATCGTTCACTGGAACATTTGCGGGGCTGAAAAAAATAAAGATGCTATCATTAGAGTTATAAGGGATTTTAAGCTACAGATCTTATTGCTCAATGAAACCTTGCTCAAACCCAACACTAACTTTAAAATATCAGGGTTCTCTTCTGTAAGAGCAGATAAACCTAATGGTGCAGATGGTATAGCAATTTTCTTGAAAAACAAAATAAAATATAATATCATCGACTTAAGCAGAATTAATATACCAGAGAGGTGTCAGGTTATTCTTGTAGAGCTTGTCGATTTTTTTATTTGTTGTGTTTACAACCTTCCAGATATTTGTTTGGTCAGGGCAAGCCTCAATTCAATTTTCGATCTAACCCGTAATAAACCCGTCCTCGTTATGGGAGACTTTAATGCCCATAATCCAATATGGGGTTCCCAGGTCAGTTACTCACGGGGAATTAGAAGTGGGAACATTCTTTATGATTTCATTAAGGATCACGATTTGTGGGTACTAAATGATGGATCAGATACTCGGCTCACACGCCCAGGCGTACACAGCGCTCCAGATGTAGCTTTTTGCTCCCAGAGACTGTCTGGACTTACTGACTGCAGGGTTCTCCAGGATAGAGTGAATAGCGATCATTTTCCTATTTTGTGTATCATCGGAAATAACCGTTGCAACTCAGGTTCGACAAGAAACTACACTAGCAAATATAATTTCAACAAGGCAGACTGGGAGAAATTTTCTGATTTAATCTCCACGAAATTTAGAACTTCACCTCCTATAAATTATGAGGATTTTATGAATATAATTTTCCTATCTATTGCAGAATCTGTTCCAATGCATAAACACTCATTAAACTACGGGTTACCTTGGTGGGATAATGAGTGCACCAACGCTATTAAAAGGAAAAGACAAGCATTCAGAGACTATAAAAACAACCCCTCTGAGACCAACTTCCTGGAATCATTAAGAACCCGGGCACAAACAAGACAGCTGCTACGTAAGAAGAAAAAGGAAGGCTTTGTCAACTTTTGTGAGAATCTATCTCCAAATACTAGTGCAAAAGAAGTTTGGAGCAGTATTAGAAGGTTTGCTAAAGGTATCAGGTACCAAAATTATCATTTTCCCTTGAATTTCTCAATCCCACAAGATATGTTTGATCTTTTGACGCAACCTCCCTCTATGTTGCCTAATATCCCCGAATGTCGCTTCTCATCAGAATATACAGAAGACTTCCATATCTCAGAATTTGTCGCGGCCGTTAAAGGTCGGAAGAGCAAGAGTCCCGGTGTGGATAAAGTACCTTTCAGTGTGCTCAGCCATCTCCCTGTTGAAGGAGCAGTCTTTCTTATCAAATTTTTCAACAAAATACTTCGGAGGGAAACCACCATTCCAGGGACGTGGAAAACCCAAATGGTGATCGCAATTCCTAAACCGGGGAGAGACCCCTCAGCGTTATCGTCCTACAGGCCCATCAACCTAGCTTCTTGCATAAGCAAAACTTTTGAAATTATGATCAAAAACCGACTGGAATGGTTCGTAGAGAACCAAGGTTTAATAGACGTTCGCCAAACCGGTTTCAGAAAGGGTAAGGGAACTTTCGACAATCTTGCAGTTATCTCCTCAGAGGTCCTCTGCCGTTTGGCTCTCAATCAAATAGCAGCAATGGTGACTTTGGACATATCCAATGCCTACGATAATATAAATGTTGACTTATTGACCTCGGTGTTGGCCAAAATTGGAATCGCCAGAGATTTGACTTTGCTCATTAAAGATTTTCTCACGAACAGGAAGATACAAGTTAAAGATCCATCTACTAATACATTCGTGTCAGGCAGAACCACTAGCAAGGGAGTTCCCCAAGGTTCCCCTCTTTCTCCATTACTATTTAATATTTACATCAATTCAATCAAAGAAACAATTCCTGAGAACATAAGACTTTTACAGTTTGCGGACGATACCGCCTTGCTGAGTACTGGGACTGATGCCCAAACAATAGTGAACAATTTGAATAGAACTTTGCAAAATATACATATTTGGTCTTTGAATGTAGGACTTGAGATTAACCCCAATAAATCTGCAGCTATATTTTTTTCCAGGAAGAATTTCAAGGTTAATTATCTCCCCAGACTTCACCTCAACACTCGAACCATTGCATGGACAAATTCCATCACATATCTAGGAGTGATTTTTGATCCAAAACTGTCATGGGAGTCACAAATTAGAAATATGATACAGAAAGCTTCAGGTGGGTTGAATATGATGCGATTTATAAGTAGAATCTGGTGGGGGGCACATCCCTCTACCCTTCTAACTTTTTACAAAGCTTATGTTAGACCCCATTTGGATTATGGAGCTTTTTTTTTTGGGTGGTAGCTCAAGAAAGTCTATTGCTCAACTTAACAAAATTCAATTTGAGGCACTGAGAATAGCTCTGGGATATATGAAGTCCACACCTACTAACATACTTCTAGGGGAAGCAAGTGAAATGGATTTAGAACACAGAAGATACATGCTAGCGACTAAATCATTATTGAAAGCTGCCAGTTTAGTGGACAGTGAAACCTTAGCTGCGGTTAGATGGTTATATATCACCTATAATGAAAACTATTACTTTTTTCGGAAAAAGAGTATTCCTGCACTTGTGGATGCTTTTGAAAGAGTTGATTCACTGTTAGATACACTTTACAGGAGCCCAGTTTATCCCTGTTTTTCTTGCCCACTGCCGAACCTTTTAAGCTCTGTTCAAATCCAAGACTTAAAACTAAAGAAAGATAATAATAACTCCAAATTATTTGAAATTAAGAAGAGCGAGACTTGGACCCCAGATTTTCATTTAATTTTTACAGACGTCTCAAAAGATAAAGAAGGCCGAGTAGGTTTTGGCGTTTACAACTACAATACGAACCTTAAAATGGGACAAGGCCTACCAAGTGAACTATCCATTTGCTCTGCCGAGATTTATGCTATTGGTCAAGCTCTTGATTGGATTGAATTCAAGGACATCAACAAAGCAGTCATCCTTTCAGACTCCAAAAGTGCCCTCGAAGATATCAATAAAACTGGGATGGATGCAAAGTCTAACTACCTAACCTTGCAGGTTAAGAATAAACTATTTACCTTAATAAAAACGCAAAATAAGGACATCCAATTATGCTGGATACCAAGCCATACCAGTATAAAAGAAAACGATATTGCGGACCAGATCGCCAATGCTGCACGCCTGGAACCACAGGAAAATATGAAATTGAGCTTTAGGGAATTCTTCCCTAAATTAAAGCATAACATCTGGAATGCTTGGAGCGACAGATGGAAACATATAGGATTAGGGAAAGGAGTTAATTTCACCTCACATTATTCTACTCCGCCAACTAAACCCTGGTTTCATAAGCTCGACCTGAATAGAAGAGAAATCACAACTATGTGTAGACTGAGAAGCAACCATTGCTGTTCTCCGGCTCACCTAAATAGAATCAAAGTCAAACTCTCCGGAGACTGTGAATGTGGAGAACTGGGCGATTTAAGTCATGTGCTGTTTGATTGTGCTCTTCATTGGGAAAAATCACAACAGTTGTATGAGTCACTCATTAGTGCTAATTTTCCTTCGCCTCTGCATATTAATTCCATTTTATTTCACCGCACTCAGTTGGATTTTGCTGCTAGAATTGTTTGCCGCTTTTTAGATGCATGTGGATTAAAACTTTGAATATTGTTTTCACATTTTCTAATTCTTTCGTCCATTTTTTTTTCCTGTATAGCCGTCCAGTAGGATGATGGTATCACCCAGACCCTCTTTACGGAGGCATCCTTCATGGAAATAGTTTATTGCACACCACTACCGAGAAGCTGGCCGAATTGCCTTAGCAGCAGTGGCCAAATAAAGCGTAAATAAAAAAAAAACCCTTTAACAAGTGTATCTTGTGGAACTGGTTAAATTTTCATTTTGCTAATAGTTGGAATTTAATATGGCATCGTTGCCTCAAAAAAGATATTATCGTCAACGGGCTCATTCAAACCCAATGGCTGATCATTGTTTTGATTAGTAAATATGTATGCAATCAGTGAGATACAAAAATTAAATTATGTTGTTCTTAGTCCTGTTTCCCCCGACGCAATGGACTGGTCCAAATTTTATCCCGGAGAGGAAAATACGCCCGTTGAATTTCTAGATGTGGGTTGCGGTTATGGAGGGTTGTTAACTACATTATCACCAATGTTTCCAGAAACTCGCATGCTGGGTTTGGAAATAAGAGTTAAAGTTTCTGACTATGTAATGGATAGGATAGCTGCTTTGAGAACACAAAATCCAACTCAGTATCAGAATATAGCGTGCTTACGTACTAATGCAATGAAGTATTTGCCAAATTTTTTTAAAAAGGGCCAGGTAGTTGTTAACAATACTATTATTATGTGTATATCCCTATTCATGGAATTTAATTTATTTAACCACTCGTCTTGTGGGCTCTAGAAAGTTTGAAAAATAATTTTTAAATAATCTTATTATTCATGTTATTGTGGCAAAATTTCAGTTGAAGAAAATGTTCTTCCTATATCCCGATCCACATTTTAAGAAGGCCAAACATAAATGGCGAATTGTTAATCAATGTCTTTTGGCAGAATACGCTTATGTGTTGCAAGAATGTGGAGTTGTATATACAATTACAGATGTCAAAGATTTGCATGAATGGATGGTAAAGCACTTTACAGAGCATCCATTATTTCAAAGAATTGATGATCATGATTTGGTGAGAAAGGTATTTGATGTTTTCAGGGGTCTGTAAAGTATTTGTTTTAGAAAGATGATCCAATTGTAGAAAAATTATACAGCAGCACTGAAGAGGGTCAGAAAGTAAGTAGAAACCAGGGTGAAAAATTTGTGGCAGTTTTTAGAAGGACTTCGGATCCATATTTGAGATAAGATAATAAAATCATTTCAACATTCTTATATAGTTTTTTAATTCAATTTGTAAACCATTTCTTCAATTTGTTTTATAATTTTATGTGTATCCCTATCAGGCCCACAACATTTAGAAGTGATCAACAGTGCCTCAAAAATTAATTTCTCTAAAATTTTTGAGAGGTCACATCTGGTGGGCTGTTGAAGAAGTGTTTCAAATTTCCTACTGGCATCTTTTGCTGCTATAGGTTTTAAAAGTCTGCTTTCTCTGCTGCTATCTTGGGATATAAATTCAAAATAGTAAGGCATTGGTGTCTGAACTGATTTTTCTAAAATTAGTTTCAATTTGTTACCGAACAGAACATTCCTGTAATAAAAAAAATAAGTTCAATAACTAACCAAAATGGATGAAGCACCTACGTGATAATCTCTTCCAAAACTTGACTGAATATTGAATTATTTTCAAAACTGACCAACGCTGTATGGTCTTTATTGAATCTTATAGGTGCATATAAAGGTTTCTCAATTTGTAATTGTACAGGTGCAAAGGAAGACTGATCTGTTGCACTTAAAAAACTGTCCATATCCTCGGTGTGCACAATATTAATATTCAAATTGATTGTTGTTTCAAAGGCTTCTGGTTTTTGTGGGACGTTTATAGGGTTTTTCTGAAAAGTTTCATATAGATAATTTGTCCAATATAGTGCTAGTTGAATGTATTAAATATTATGTTATTCTATTCATGGGTGGTCAATGTTAAAAATATTAAACCTTCACTGATTTTTACAAGATATGCATGTAAGTAATTAAAGTCGTAATTATGATTATATTTTTTTGATAAAATATACCCTCTAAAGAGCTTGGTGAAATATTCAAGGTGATTTGCATTTTTGAAAATTTAAAAACTTTACAAATTGAATGTAATATTTGAGAATCCAAATATGTGTGAAATGACATTTCTGCTTTAATTTACAAAACAATATTTTATTACAGATTTGGATATTGCACACAATTTTAAAAAAAAAACTTGGGTACTTGACAATATATCTTATATCCTTACATCCTACTAAAAAAGGAAACACATTAACAAGTTTTGTACATATTACTGAAATATCGCAAACAGCCCTAAATGATGAAAAGTAGAAAAAGAAAACTATTATTTGAACTATTATCTGATTAGCAGAACATATTATTAACTTTACCCTTCATAAAAACAAATACTATTTTTAAGTGTAAAAAAAAACTTAAATACATTAATTTTGGTTGACCGTAAATAAAATTTTTAATAGGGGACTCAACGTGAATCACGTTACACAGCGGTAAAAATTTGAATTTACCTTTATTATCGATAATATATAAAAACATTTATTAAATTTTGGACAACCCAATTTGTTTTTTTTTATAAATATTTAAGTTTGTTAAAAGGGGTTCTTGGACATAAATTTCGTCAGTGAAACCATTTTTTAATTTTTATTTGACTCCTTTCAACAAGTTGAAACCTTTTAAATAGATTTATGTATATATATTTTTTGATCTTGGCGATTTAACAATCGATTGCTGTTGTCATACTTACAGGTTTTTCAACCTTATTGTCCGTAATCGTGAATTCATTTTTAATCCTCATTTGCATTTCTTGATATTTTTCCTGCGCTTTTTGATGCATTATTAATTTGGTGTAATTAATAATTTCATATGGTAGTAACAAGTTAGTTATACACGGTTCGTTTTGTGTCTTAATGCGAATTAGCAGTGGATGTAATTCTTTTGGCTTTAAAATTCCGTAACTCCTTTCAACATCAACCTCAACAACATCATCGATTTTTGCTCTAAAAATAAAATTATCAATGGGATTACCTCTAATTTTTTTTTATTTTTGCCGGTCTTACTTGCCCCAAAAGTATTGAAACGTGTCACGTCTTGAGTTATTTTTAATGAAAATTATCTCCTTTGAGGCGTTCCATATCGGTATTATTTTGTATTCAATAGAATTACGGGAAACTGTAACCGGAAAGTCGATGGTAAAGGTGCTATTAGATGTGAGGGGCATATTATTTTCTGTCTCTTTTTTTGCTTCCAAGTAACCTATTCCTTCTACTGCAAAATTTTCACTTATTGCGGATTCTTCTGCATATCTATAGCTCAGGGTTGTCGATACTTTATAGACCTTGGCTTCGATGGGATGAAATCTAATCATTAACGGTTCGCGAGAATAGGGTAAAACTTGACCTTGATATTTAACGCAATCCATAACTGAGAACCCGTCCAGTCGGCAAATTCTTCCAAATTCTTCTCGTTCAATTTCGTAAGTTATCAATTTTTTCGTATTGTTGTACAACCAAAATATTTGAATTGGCGCCACTCTTGTTCCAATAAAAATACTTTTGAGAAACATTTTAAAATCACAGGAATAACTGGAAAGTCTTGTGGCTTCTGGTGGGATCGCAAAAATTGTGAAGTGCAATTCAATTTTTTTCCTATTGCACAGTTCTAAAGTATAACACATTCGGGTCTCGTTTGGTAAACTGTTTTTAACAGTTATTGTTAGTAGTTGGGGTGCTTTCTCCTAAAATTTGAAAATCTATTTACGATAAGTTCTTCAATAAATTGGTTGTGTACTGTTTAGGTTGGCAAAGTAATATGCAATACGTAAGGACGCTCGAAGATGCATTCCTTATTTGAGTCTGAAAAATACAAGATAGTTACCAATTAAATTTCAATGATATTCAGGAAAATTTGATAATACCTTGAACGGTATGTCAAAACGAACTAAAAATATCTGGCCGATGCATATTTGAAATATAGAAATGTTTTTCTTGTCCAATTTACCTATTTATAAGCCAGAATTTTGTAAAAATTTCTACAATACAAAGTTTTCTCCTAGATGCAATTTTCAGTAACGTTTTCAAAAAAGCTACGTCACGGCCTTTATATTGTCGTTTATCAATTTTCAGTTGCAGGTTTATTTTGATTTGAAAAGAGTACTAGTTTTAATTTTTCGAAAATTAAGTTTCAGTATATAACTTTTAAGCAATGAGCTGCATATTGATACTTTTATTTATTGTCACGCGTTTCTCTATGGCGGATTAAATTATGGCACGCTCTACACACAATAATTTCTTTAAATACTTATGAAAAATGCATTGCATTCAAATTGATATAATCGAAATTTTTAAATAATTAAGTTTTTTCTAGCTTTAAACACGTTAGGCATAAAATACCGACTACTAAATTTTTTGGAGGATTATCAAAAGAAATATATAATACAAACGTATTTATCTAAATTAAACAATATTTTTTGTTTCTAGCATAAGAAAGACAAACTTTTTAATTTTTTTGATAATTAAATCAATAGATAAAGAATACTAAAATACTGATTTCTTTTTAATTTCTAAATAGTACACATAATAAAATTGAATTAAAAATGTTCTTTGGTATATCGAAATACTTTATTTATATAGGAAATTATACATATGTGTATATTTATTTACGCACGCCTGTTATCAAAGAAAAGAATATCCATTGTTGCTGTTTTTTCCCTTTGGGTCAAAACAAATTTAACAAAAATCGATAGTACGTTAACAGACCCATTCCACTCGATGGAGTTGACTGTGTTGGGGACACCCTACGTTTGGTGAGTGCCACACTAGACGCAAGTATATGACGATAACAATTTTCTACCAAACCAAAACAAAATGGGGGAGACTCACATAGAATTTGTTTGATGAAATTTCTACGTTGACCACTTCCCTGTGAGGACAATCGTAATTTTTTCGTCGCAGATGAAACGTGGCGTCCGCAACTTCCTTTAACTGGCATTGACACATTTGTTTCCGTTTAATTTTTATCTCGCCTTGGGCGTTTGTAATATTTTTCAGAGCAATTTTCACGTAATAGGTTTTGTTCCCCATTTCGCATTCCGGCAAATGCATTTCTATTTTTTCAGTTTTGCTATTCGATATTTCACTCAGAGCTTTGTTCATGCTAAAATAATTAACATATTTTTAAGAAGGTTATTTTCGGACCCAATTTGGTATAAATCTTTTAAATTAAAAAAAGAAGCCAATCTATAACATAAACCTGTTTACTTTCGGGTGACAGGGTGTTAAAGTTTTAAGAGAGTAATCGTTTTCATCATAACTTTTAATAACTAGATAATTTTGTCCACAAACAGTGGATGGCTAACGAAACTTGGAACATAGTATAAAGAAGGATGAATTTTAGAAAAGCAGGAATATATACCGAAGAACAGAGGAAGACTGGACGAGATAAAAATTAACACTTACGAAACATGGTCGATAGAGGATGAGAACGGAGAGCCAGTGGTGACTGAAATAGAAAAAGTCACGCAAGTTTGGCGACAACGTTGTATTAACTTACACAAAAAAGTATTTCTAACGGAATTTGGCAGATAGATCAGTGGCCAACCCATTGCTATACCTCTACTTTCATACCGTTGTATAAAATTGCAGTTGCATTAATTTCTCACCCAAGCAAAGTCATGGTCCCGTTGCAGAGACTTAAAAACTTCTTAGACTGGCAAATCCCATAGGAAGAGGCTGGTTTTCTCATTGGAAAAGGCTCCAGAGGCCAGATTATGGATGTTCGACAAATTATAGAGAAAACAAGAGAATATGGTGAAACTTATGTTTCCTGGATTACAGCAAGGCATTTGATTACGTCAATTAGCAGCGTCTTTCGGATGTTCTGTGACAGATGGGAACTCGACTAACCAAAACTTCCCAAAACCAACAATAATCAAAGTGGATGGGGAATATTCTTGAACGTTTTAACTTGGAATGTGGTGTACTACAAATTTGTGCATTGTCACCCTTATTGTTTAACGTATATCTAGAAGATATCATCCGGAAAGCTTCGGATGGTCGGGAAGGAGGAGTCGCCATAAGTGGCGGGATGAACTATCTGCACACGCTGATGACACCACACTGATGCCAAAGACCAGCAGGAAATGTCGAAACTTATTGAACGTGAATGAGATGATAATTTTCTAAATTTTCGTATACGGCCTTCGAGCATCAACTGCCAGTGGCGTCTTTACACGATGAGGACCAGATAATTTTTTTCTTATTTTGATCTTTCAAATATTTTTTTACTTTTTCTATACTAATTATTCTATTTAGTCTACAGATTCTTCCTTTTTCTCATGGGTTACAAGATGGAACTCCCGGAACTGTCGACGTTTGCCTATCTCGTTTCATGCAGATGCTATAATATATGTTAAAATAAAATTTCAAAGTGGAATAGTAAACTCTAATGAAAAGAAACAACCTTGTCCGCCAGCTACGTTAAATTGTTTTTTACAGAGTCTGTCATCTTAGAACGTTTCTAAAAACGGTGTTCCGGAGTTGCTATTTAACTTGCGTCAAAAGGATTTAAGGATTTTAGTTCACACCTTTCAATGCGCAGATAGTCCCAAAAGTGATGCTTCCCAAATAATGGTCCATAATTGTGTTCCACAATTTCATCAACCTGAGGACGAAAGTGATATATATGATAATGTATCTATAATCTTCAAGTGCGGTGACAACAACAGGATACCATTTACGCAAGAATTGTGTTGTGATTTCGACCATCCAAGTTTAAACAACCTAGATGTCCGAAATCGATTTGTTTACAGGACGTTCCACCAATGCCGTAGACAAATACACAAAAAAAACTCCAACGAAAGTGTCTCGCATTTGCGTTATATTGACAGATGTTACGTCATTATTTCGCACGTTTTTGAAAATTTGAATCCTACTAAAATCATGTCAAATGTGCCGATATTGTCAAGATTGCTACCGATTACTGTAGTATTTGCAAATCTAGCAGAGATAAGAGACAAAAGTTTTAGTTTGTTAATATACCTTAAAATATAGTAATTTCATGTGTCCTGAATTTGTTGTACTGGCATTAGCTTTAGATTTTTAAAGTACACTCTTATATCATTGTTGTATTTTAAATTCTATTTTAAGATATTTGAGGTTCTATGAGTATTTGTGAAAAAATCAAGGCACTTTTTAACGAGCCATATCAATTGGTTACAAAGTTGAATTGTTGAATAATTTATATATTTTTTTCAAAAGGGCTTGGAATTCATATATATGTCGCAAATTGTAAAGAAATATGTGTGTAACTTTCAAACTTAATTTATTTTCTATCGGAAATGGTTTCCCAGATATCAGCCGCTAACGAACTATTGGGCCACCCTGTATATTCCATCAACTTTGCTCCTGTTGTCCCATTGAAAATTGGAGATGCATTGTTGCGGATAGTGGACGTACAAAAAAAGTTTCTTCTAATTACCTATTCTTCTTTTGTATTCCTCCTGCGTAGTAGAATGAGAGCCAGTTTCAATTAAGTTCTGAAGATGCCAGCAGGCATCTTCAGAACAATCAACGCAGGTGGAATACAGAAGATTTGTAAATAATATTACAGTAGCCTGTGGAAGTTTCTTTTGAAAATAAAATATACCTGTATTATTAACATGCTGCAATTGAAGCTTATTTGAAATAGCTTAATTTTTTTTCCAGATGTTTTTAAGGAGCGTGTTTCAATTATATCTTCGTATTCGACAATGACTTCTTGGTGTCCAACATTTTGGGCATTCCCATCAAATAAAAACTTTATTTTCGAATTTGGAGGCACTTCTCCCTGCATGGGGTGTATATTGAAGTGGTAGTCGTCGACGGAATCTTGGTTTACGGCGAAGTGAATGATTGTTTCGCCAAAATTAAATGCATTGAATTCGAATTCAAGTTTGGCGCCATAAGGCACTTCTCCGAAATCTTTTTCGCTTGGAAATGACTAAAAAACAAAAGGTTTGTTGACTATAATTCGCTAGATTATACAAACTCCTGAATTGCAAAGAAAAAAATGCAACTGTCTCAACCATGATGGAGCCTTGATTCCTTTGCAATCTGTGTTCGCAAAATAGATTCTCCCTCTCTCTCGCGAATTAAATAAAGAACAACTACAGCGATTTTGGTTTTTAATATCACCAATTTTTAGTTGTCAGCAAAATTTCAGACTATCCTAGAAGACAAAGCCCTGTATTATTGCTGGGTTTAATCCGAAGGATGAAAAATTAAAAATATTGAATAACTTTTCTACGCAAAAAATAATTGGCACGATGTTTAAATTGTATTTTTTGAAAATAGGAAAGATTGGGACAAGAATGAGCATAACTGTTTTGATCTTTTCAAAATTTTTCTACAAATACGGACGGGCAGCGCGCGGTGGACTTTCCCATTTGTAAAGAGGTATCGTCCTTAAATTGACAAGGACGTAACACAAACAACTTGTAGAAAATGAATATGCATGTCTCACAATAAATCTCGAAACTATCCTTAAATTCTACAAAGAGTGATTTTTTTTAGACAATCAATTGATCTTTATTTAAAATTTGTTTAGTGCCGATTTAATATGCGGCCTCCCTATATAATTCTATGCGTTTGGATAATTTTTTAATGTTGTTATTTTAGTTAGAAATTAATGCAACAACAAAAACAAACTAACCAAATAACCTTACGTAGATCAGATATTAAACCCGCAACATTTGTTTTACACTTAGTTAAAGCAAGTATATTGATGTAATAATGTTTCGTATGAAGCAACGTCATTTACTCTATCTATAATTAAAAATATAGATTAGATTTATTTAATATTCTCCGACCCGGGTGAAACTTTTTCGCATATTTCTTTAATCAAACAAATCTAAAAAAAACAAATCTAAATGGATCCTAAACATCGATCTTAGATTGAGAAATAGACTAAGGAATGTTCCCGCCAGTGTTTCGCACCTCGGGACGCGCATTCTTTGGTGAAGGCCGGAGTTTGTGCAATCAAGGTTGTTTTATTTTATGTATGATAAAATATATTATGATAAATTTGATATATGTTTTTTCGTTTAACAATAAGCAATACTTTAAGGCAAATAGAAAATTTTGCTTATTTTCTTTTTACTCAATGTATATCTTTTTAATATAATACAGAGTGCTATTGGATATTAGTCTAATATTTCACAGGGTGGTTTTTAAGGCAAACACAAACGTGTGGTCTAAAAGCAAACTTGGTAGTTGGTTTTTTTTTGACACGGGAATTGTGAATGGAAAACTATGTAAAACGTCCACGAATATTGTTTATCTGTAAGTAAGAGGCCAAATAATAATTCATATTTCTCATGTCAAAAAAACAGGTAAAAATTTTCCTTGTGAAATAAATATTATTGCAATATTACATACACGTATCTACACAAAAAAATACTTTAATTTTCACTGTTTTTTATTTAATGATTATACATAACGGTTTTGATTTGGTTTGGTTTTGATTTATTAGTCATCCAAAGACTTTCTCCGGACATCCTTTAAAAGTTATATTAAAATAACTCAAAATAGCCAGTTTAAGTTAGGTAATCGGTCCTTCTTGCTCATTCTGGAACTACCTGGAGATCGTTATGGTTTTGTCAAACGCGATTCACTTTAAAACGGCTCAAGAATAGTTGTAATTATTGAATAAAGCACGCAGTTGGTTCTACGCCGTTTGAAGGCGTGTTGAGAAATACCCGAACAAAGCTCATGCAAATGAAACGTTTGAAATCTATTATGGATATTGCTAAAGGCATTATATACGAAAGACTCGACAAACCCTTAATATTTACGTCACATTGCGTCAGTTTACTAGGACGCGTTAAAATTTTGTCCTATCAGAGGAAACGGCTGATGCTTTGTGATTTTCGACATTTCGAATTTGGACGCCGAATTTGGTTACTCGCAGTTGGTGATTTTACGATTTTTGCTAATTGAGGAGTGCTTTGTTTCTAAATATTAAATAAACCTGATTCTTAAAAGTGTTTAGTATGTCGAATAACCAATTACGGTCATCTATAGTGGCATCGCACAGCATAAACTGAAATCTTTCACATTTCCAAGCGTAGAAAGTAATTGGCTAAACCAAATCATCCATCCATCCTTTGGTCATAATGCATGCACATAATGGTTTGCCAAAAATGTTCGCATTGTAGTAATTTTTACCGCTGATGATGATTTGTTATCGTTGGAATACTTCTAACGCACATAAGATGAAATAAATCCTTACACATAGCTGGGAATATGAGATCTCCGTGACAACATCAATTTCCGTTTCATATGCCGTTCCGACAATTGCCCCAAATCCGTCGACGGCTCGCAGTGAACACGTAAGCCTCTTATATGTGGGTGCGCAATTACTTGCGATGCAAGTTACGTGAATTTCGATTTCTTCATTGGATGCTAGCTTGCCTTCGATGGGGTGCATTTTCAAAAAATTATTATTAAATTCCAGGGCAAACGAGAAACTGAAAATAAGAAGTCGCTCGTTGCCAAACAATGGAAGAATTATTAAAACTCCCCTGATAGATAACGAATTACATCCAGGCTGTTAAAAAGTAAACGGTGTTTTAAACTTCTAAAAAGGTGTTTTTATCAAAAATGTATGACATTGACTTTCTCCACTTTTCTGTCTACTAAAAAGAAATGATATGAAAATTAAAAACCAAATCAAGCATTAAAACCATACTTAAGCATGAATTAATGCATGAATGAATTATTTAAAATGAAGCTTAGTGGAGCTGCACTTCCACAAATATCACTGTCAATTTAAATTTCAAGAAAAAATTTTTTTTTCGTTTTGTTTTAAAATCACCCCGAGAATTGTCCCTAGAATTAATCTGAATATATACTAGGTCTATTTGCTCTCTATATAATATAAAATATATTTTATAAAATATATATACAATTATCGAATCGAACTTGTTGACATTTCGCCAATAATCTTGGCTTCTTCAGAGCTTGACTAAAACTGATTTACATTCTAGTCTGTACCTGTTTATATACAGGTTGAGGAAGGCGAAACTTGTCTCGGATGACTGATTCCCATATTGTAAATGCCAACCAGCTCTGAAGAAACCAACAGGACATCCGAGGAATACAGAAGATTTGTAAATAGTATTACAGTAGCCTGTGGAAGCTTCTTTGAAAAATTAAGTTAAGAAACCATTTACAATGAATAATTTTAAAATGTATCATTACAGTGAACTGTCACAGTCCAGTTTCATTTGCTAGTTTTTCCAGAAATGGACAGAAAAATTAAGGTCCACTGCGTCTGAGTTACATCAGGACTACTAATTTGAATTATAGACACCTGTGAAAAGGCAGTTTATTTAAACTCTTATCTGCTACAGTGTACAGGTGAAATAGCAATTGTTTTCTGAAAAATATTAAATCTACTCTAGAATAGTAGGTTTCAAGTTAATCGATACTTCAAAAGGGACAAATATCCACTCCCTTACATATTTTTGAATCTGTTGAATTTTATCAATTAGTTTTTCAAGTGTTGGAATTTGTTATATCTTCTTTTCTTAAATAAAAAGGTATGTTTTAATTAAAGGCGTATAGCATCACTGGTCTATTTCAAAATTCTTGCTTATTCGACCACATCTCAGAAAATATAGAAAATAACACTAAAATGTGCTGGCAAATTTGTTGTATGTTATAGTATTATCTCAATGTATAACAACATGAGCCACATTTTTAATTTACGCTTTTGGTTAAAATGAATATATGAATATACCTAACAGTACCTAAGTATACCTAAGAGTACCTTATAACAACAAATATTTAGTGCTTATTAATACATTATAAATTATATTTCTTCACAACTATACCTTACGTTAAGTAACGATGTATTTTTTAAGGGTACTACAATATCCTTCTGACAACCTTCTTGGATGTAGCCCGCATTCACTATATTTCCGGAGCCAATTTCTATGCTTGGAATGCTCGTTTCTCCACGGATGTAAATTCTTGTAACTCTATCTTCTTTTCCGTTTATAATAATTTGCCACTCTTCAATATAAACTCTAGGTTCCATATCTTTGGCAATTAACTGTACCGCAATGATCTCGAACGTTTTAAATGTTCCAATCATTGGCCTCACTCTTAGATCTCTGCTTAAAATATATCAGAAAGTTGATTAAGACATTTATGGAATACTTTTGTTAAGCATCTGTTAAATTTTAAGTGTTAATAAAATGCTGCAAAAATTCGAATTTATTCTCAATGTCCGGGCTATCGACAACTTTGTGGATTATCTTACTTATCTTTATTTTTATCTTACTTATCTTTATCTTACTTATCTTTAAATGTAATTTTGATTTTTTAGATTCAGGCTCTTTTTTAAAATTTTGTAGTTTAAGGTAAGGTATCTGTCCTATTTGATAGCTTAATGAAAACTAAGTAACTGTTTCCTTTTTGATTATGTTACCAAAATTCATTACTGTTTTCATATTAAGTACACTGCGCAGGTGAAAAAGTTCTGCATTACTTTTTAAATTAAACACCCTGTATATGATTTGTTGTTTTTATTGAGAATAGTGTGTGCTTTTCAAAGTTATATACGTAGTTGTACACAATTATTTTTTAAAACATCATTTCATATATATCAGACTATGCCAGGTTTTAATGACCTACAACGAAAAAAAAATTGAAAAGCTACAACATTTTATATTGAAGAAAATATTTTGAAATGCCGTAGGTTGAACGGTTTCCATACATAATTATTCTATTAATTGCAACAATTGTATTAATCTATCTAAAAAATTGCATAAAAATGATATAGGATAATGTTAATAATGTTAATAGTTTGTCACAGAATTAATTTTCGAAGTTATTAAATTGAAAAATTACAGGGTGTAACGTTTGAAAAAAAATTATAATCAGTAAAACTTGTGAAAAGGGGACCATTTTTTTTTATGCATTCTGTGCAGCTTTGGAAAGTATTCAATGATAAGGTAGTCAAAATCATACCTGTATAAATCTTGCTTGCTTGATATTGAGTCATTTCATTTAAAAACAAATTACTGCATCTGACATTGTTTGCAGAATACATGAAAAATGCAATAACATACAGGGGGTTCTATTTAAAATAACAATGCTGCGATAAAAAAAATATTTATAAATATTTTTAAAAGATGCACTAGGTACTCATATATACTCATACTAAAATTACATCTAATACATACATACATCTAATGGTCATTCATCCATCCATGGGAATCACCCTGAATACCACAGTAGGTTTGTATCAATCCCGGTCTCGTTTAATTAAAAAAAAATTATATGAGGTTAATAATTTAATTGAGGAAATTGCCAATATTAATTTTTCAAATAAACTCCTAAATATTATAATTCTATTTAATTTAAAATCTATAATGTATACCTTATCTCTCATTTCTAATTTATGTATTTCGTTATAATGATTACAGTTTTATCAACAATGGCACCTATATATATCTTATAGGTGAAAAATACCATACTCAATAACAACTTTTGATCAACGTTTATCTTAGTACTTTATTAATCGATTTCCTTCTCTATCCTTTCCAATATTGTATTGTTGTTATATTATTATATTTTATAAATATTTCAGTGGAAATTATGATTAATTATCCACCTAACCTCAATTATTTTTGTTTAAAATTACAATTGCGTTCAAATATATTTCCTTAAAATTTTGCTGGGTGTCATTAATGTCTTTAGGATAACGAAAACGGTTTTTGCTTTTTTGCTTTCGTAATTCGATCATGTGAGTATTCTTTATGTTTGGATTCATGTCCAAGTTGCTAATTAGTTGTTAATAAAATTAACCACTTATAATTACGTTTTCTTTGGTGGCACGAGACTGTACATAATTGACAAGTGGCCCTTGCATTCCATTTTAAATGTGGCACACGACGTATGGCCCGGTAAACACGGTTGCAACACGAGCACTTCCGGTGTTATTTTAACGAAGCTCATCCATTCTTCTTTTTCCGGGAAGGAGTGACCTGAAACGCCGCAGATCGGGGGTTTGAGTTTTTTGCAGACAATTGAAAAGCCTTTGGCGACTACAGGCCGTGTTAATAACGCCAGTCTGCGTCATGCGATATGGCCTACTGGTATCAAATGCATTTGGGTGGGTACGGGTCACGGATACCTTATGTTGAAAGGTAGTAGATTTTTAAAAAGAATTTTATGTAAGTTTTGGTTAATTTAATTTAAATTTATCTTAATTACTTTAATCATTTTTATACTTGTTATTATATAAATGGAATTGCTAAGGATGTTTTTTTTTCTCTCATATATTTTTGGAAAAGGATACCGCGCTATAAAATTCTAATGGGCTACAACCAAAAGTTTCAAAAACATTTTACATTGCATTTTTTATTAAAAGTTTATATAGAACAATAAGGATCTTTCTTTATTCGATGTCGTAATGAACGAAGACAGTTAATTTTGAGCAAAAAGTTTATTACTTGGTAAAACAAGTGGTAAAATTTGGTATCTGGATTTTACTTTTCAAATGCCCAATGTTCAAAAGTCTTGGATCGAATAAATGAAAGACAGCTGATTAGTTACTTAAACAAATTTAATATAATCCCGAAAAGCAATCGGGATTTAGACCTAATTACAGCTGTTGCACGGCCCTTCTCAAAATTACTGATGATATTATTTCTTCCGATAACGGAAAGTTGACTGTGTTTTGTTAGATTATTCTAAAGTGTTTCATACAATTAATCACCCGTTGCTTTTATAGATTTTGCACTATATTGGTTTGAGTATTTCTGCGCCAAAGATTAATAAAAAATATATTATCAACCGTAAGCAGACGGTGGTTTTTGCTGGCAGAATATCAAATTCTCTAAAAGTATACTTTGGAGTCTCTCAGTTTTTTATTTTCTTACCTCTATATTTATATATCACAATTCTTAAAAGTCTTCTTATTGTGTCCGCATCACTTTTATGCAGATGATACCCAGATGTATTTTTCATTTCTGATTGAACTACGACTTTTATAAACTCACAATATTTTCTAAAGATCATTGCCGTATGCTCGTTGCTGACAAAACTACAGCAATAGTTTTTGGTAGAAACACACAAAATAAACTTTTTATTAACCTACAATAATGTATTAAATATACACTTTAAAGATCAAATAAAAAATGTAGGGTTGTTGATTGATTCAGAGTTGCGATTTACACCACATACATTTTTTCTGTAAAACCCTCAAATCGTTAATTTGCGATTCATTCTCAAATGACATATTGTAATGTCGATGGTTCCTGCTTAACAGATCAGATAAAAACCGAATACAAAAGTAACTTTTTTAATACAATTGCACTAAACACGCCGCAGTATCTATATAATAGATGTAGCTTTCGGACTGACTTACATAATATCTATATTAGGTTTAAAGGTAACCCTTACGCCTCCAGCTCACTCAATGGAAATTTTCAGGCGCTTGGATTCTTATTAGATGACAAAAGTATTGAATAATCTACCAAATTAATTTAAAAAACGGTAATTCTCTTATTTAAGCTGTTGATGTTCATTTTAATAAGAAATTTCTCTCCATAGCCTCATATTTTTTTATTGTATCAAATGTTGATGTTGATTTTCTATTATTTTCTTAGTTTTTGTTAGCAAATTCTGTCAAAGCCTTAAATTGTACTTTTGTTTGTTACGTAGGTTTCGTATATAGGAAATGCTTAGTTAATACTGAGTAAGTGTGCGTTTCGATTTTCTTTTAACTTCTAAAAATGTATTGCTATTTTGCTGTACTTTCAAGTGACCAGTCTAACAAAATAAAGAACGAATTACACAAAAATGTTGCAAGCATTACATAGATTAGGCCTCGCACAAAATTGACTTTACCTTGAGCAGTCACACCTGCTAGAAGTGGAACCGCCGAAACGATTCCAGATGGAACCTCATCAGCCATCCAATGGATTTGTGCCACAAAGTTATGGTTGTATACATTGTGATTCTCGGTAGTCTTAAACATGCACTCGAAGTCTGCCGAGCTATTGGGGGATATTGATATTCTCTTTGGTGTTATCGTGAAATTTTCTGTTCCTAAAATGTGTGACTTTGAACTATTATTATTTTGAATCCATTAGTTGTAGTTATAGAAATAGTACCTGTGCCCTTGGGAAAATAGAGCTGGACCTTTATAAGGGGGAAAGAGATGGTGACGGAATATAAATTCGGTGAATTTTTGAGATATAAATAAACTATGATGTTATTAGTATTACAGTAAAACTAGCAAATTTTGATGTATAAATACTTTAATTATTTAAAAAAACATTTTTATGAAATAAAAATTAAAAATTAGATAGTTTTAGTTTTTTTGGTAGACGTTGTTTGGTAGAAAATTTCCAAAAATAAATTTTTGTTGCTGAACTCCCAACCTAAAACCTCTTCATTAAGCTTTTAGGTAACAAATTTATTGTTATTGTTTGTTGTATTTCTGTATATTACTGACAATATAATATTACTCATGTGGTTAAGGACGAAACATCTGTAAAATGTTTAGTCTTAGAGATGACACTGAAATGGAAATAAGTACTATAGGTTAAATATTGTATTAAATAATTTTGTATAAACAATTCCAGTAATAGATTTCTTTTACTAAAGCAGGTAACGACAAGCCCAAAAATATTTCTTCCCAAACTCTGGATTATGGAATACCTGGGGTAATGTAGTGTCCGTTTGTACTCTAGGTAGTTTGTTTTGTATACGACGCTGCTTTATTTCTTTACGTAGCAATTTCTAGGAAGTCTGGGAAGTCTGACTAACTTGCGAAGTGATGGTGCGATTTAAAACATGACAGGCATTTTCTGAATGTCTTCGGATTTATTTGCCCAATCTTTTCTGCAGCGCGATTTCAATCACGACGTATCGGTATTGTCGGCTGTCGACAAATTGCCGGGGTTCACGATTTTATGATTTATTACTCAAAGTTTACGCGAATTTCATTCATTTAAAAAATGATGGTGGTCAAAATAAAGAATTGAAAAGGAAGTAGTTCTACTCTATTAAGTAAGTAAATATGTAAATAGAAATAATAAATATAATAATACTATTTTTTGGAATGCCTCAACTACTTTCCAATGACTCTGCAGAATATTAAACTTTATTGTTCCTTCGAACCTTATACAATGGTGTCAACCTTGGTGGCAAGTCGAAATGATCGAGGGCAGAGCCAAATCAGGAGGAGCACTGAATCCGAAGACAAGGGTACCAAACAGGGTTGGCACGTTGGAAGGCCAAACAGAAAACCGATGTTAAGAAAAAGCCCTAAGATAAACAGTTAGGGTTACGCAAGTCAGCAACAGAGGTCGCCCGCCAATCAAGTTTATAAGGTAAACCAAAGCAAGTTCGAGAGCTTCAGGGCTCTCGTTAAATGTATTACTTCGAATATTTATAGACCCTATATTAGGTTTATCGACCGTGTTTGTATTATTCGGTAATTGTAATAAAATTAATGAAGTCTACTTCATTATGTCTTACCCTCAGACCACTCCACAACGATTCCGTCTACCATGCGATTCATTACACTTACTATTTGAGTTTGGTTGTTTTTTTCTTTATGCAAGACTCTTCCAAAATTTATGTAAGGATGACAAAGGGAGGAAGGTAATAGCAAACTATCGTTTAGATAGGCTCCAAAACCGACGCTACATTCAATTGGAACGTTATAATATTTAAATTCGACCTCTTTAGTATTTTCGTTTCTTAGTTTTCCATAAAAACCAACGACATCAACGACGATGGGAATCTGAAAAAATGTTTACGAATTGAAATTGACATTTTTCGTTTTTGGAATATTCAATTGTTTTCTTACACTGTTCCAAATGAGACAGAACAGTTTCCCCGAGAAAATCCCTCTTCTTTTCGGAAAAAATTTCAATGTAAAATATGCGTGCCGCTTTCCTTTAATGGTGCCTTCTGCGGGGTATATTTCAAAAAGACCACCTTCGATGTAACTTTGATCGAACTTATATGTTGCATTTACTGACGAAACGTTTGTGATTTCCAATTTGCTTTGAAGGTGCTCATTGAACTGCGTTTTATAAAAAAGTAATTTGTTGGTCGAAGCTTTACACAGAGGTCCTAAAAAAAGTCAATTAAGTTGATAAATATGTTTTAGTTTGTTCGATAAGAAAAAATGTGAACCTAGAGGTTACAGATTTTTTTAGGTGAGAGTAAGTACAGCGAACAAATTTATTTAAGATTATGTTAATGTTTTTAATAAGGGGCCAGGATTACTGTATGCATAAACGGTATACTTTTAATAAAATTTTAGGTTCGGTACACACATTAATCTAATTGAAAAGAAAATATCATCGCATTGGATGTACATTGATGTCATTTTAAATCTCTCACTCGAAATAGAATATTTCCTATTTGCTATTTTCAAATTTTAAAAGACGTTTTGTTGTAAGTTTGGGTGAGAAACGGCGCCGTTTTCGATTTAAATAAAGCTTCCTGAACAGATGTTTGTAAATAAAAAATATTCGATTATGGATACTTTCAAGAATCCGTTTGAGATATAAAGAGGATTTAGTTTCGAAATTGGCGAGAAAAAATGACTCTTAATAAGCTTCTGTAAGTACATCAATTTTATTTTTAGAAATTTATTTCATAAGTTAAGAGGTATCTGAAGTTTATTTCTTAAAATTCGCCCAAAAATCGCACCATTAAATAATTGACATTCAGTTAGGACACAATCGGCATATTATGTGCATAAATTTAACGCGTTTTTCGTTTTATTACCGTTTTGGTGACGCTACTGATTGAGGTCGCTGGTCCCAAAACTCTTGTACGAAATTGTCTAAGATTTGTTCGATAGGCGAGTACATAATTCGTGTACGTTCAAGGTCGTCTAGTTTGTATTGACATAGTTTTTTCGCTATTGTCCGTTACTTTTAACTCGTAAACTTTGTTGAAAGAATCGTTGTTGGGACGGATAAAAGAAGAATACAACAAAAGCAAAAGGCTCACTTTAACCATAACAATAAATCATTGTGAAGCGACTATACAGGGTAATCCAATTTCGTCTCCCGTCATTGGGATGTTGAAACCTATGGCAGAGACACATCGTCAAATTGGGGCAAAGTTGCTAAGTTCTGTGCCTAACAATATATTACAGAAAATTCGAAAATAAATGATTTATAGTTTCGTTTTTTTCTGACATTTGTTCAAGAGCAAGAGTACATTTTCATTGCCACCATCAATTTTATTTCCGCCTATTCGTGCCATATAGGATTTGCAAACCCATAAATAATTCTTTTCTGATTTTACTGATATATAATTTGTTATATTTTGTATTCTTGAAACCACAAATGTTTATTTCAAAATTTTGTTTTTTAAATAGTTGTCACTCTGCTCCATCATGCACCTGATCATTAATTCCGAACCAAAACTGATATCATCATAACTAATGATTTACATTTAAGACTTAAATGTCATCATTACGTCTGAAGTTTATGAAACGTGCAGCTTAAAAAACGCAATGGTAAGTTATGTGCCTCTAATTATAATTTGATACAGAAGAGCATAAAAAGCATTAATTTATTTGCTACATTTTTACCCAAGTTGGCAAAAATATTCACGATTCTAAATGTTTTTAAAAAAAACTAATATTTTATTGTAACATACCAACTGCTTCCCCTTTGAGGGTAATCCGACATGTTTGACCGGTACAGTTGATGTATGTAAATATTTCAACATTTTTTTGAAACGCAACGATAGGTTTATAAGTGATTTTCAGTTTGACATCAACTTTATTTCCCAAAATAACATCGCACCATTCTAATTCGAATACTGTCTGAATGTGTTTAGAATCCGGGTCTCGATTGAAAAATGGACTCTGCAAAAAAATGTCATATCAAAATTGCAGATTTATTTGGAACTTTTTAATTTTACGACCAATTCAACTTGGTTGGTAGTTTTTTTTCAGTTATTAGTGTGTAAGCTATTTGCATCATTTTTTTAAGAAAACTTTTCTGTTGTCAGATGGACGTATCCTTACTGTGAATTTTTTTATGTATCATATGTGTTGCAAGTAAATAGGTTAATATTATACTTTCTCAGTATCAAAAAGAAACTATAACAAAAGTTTGACGTGTCAAGAGGTCTCTCCGATCATGACTTGCTTGAGCCTTGTTTTTTTCTGAACTACTGATGCTGTAGGATACAAATATTGTATGCAGCCGACTAATTTTTATCCCGAAAAGTGCCAATATCATCGAACATTCTGTTAATCTTCCTCAGTAATTAAAAAGGTAATAATGTAGCGGTTGGTCCGTTGTTTGAAAATATTTAAAAAATATCATACCTTTCCCTTGCCATGACCGTTCTGTAAATATTTGATGTATTCTCCGAAAACTTCAACTTTTCCGAAATCGACTTCAGTCTTATACACATCAGTTGCCCGATCTACAAAATATTCATTCGTCCGGTGCGCTTCACAATCATTATGAGTTACTTGCCGAGATCTTTGAAATTGTGCATATGGCGAAGTAGTATGTCACAATGAAAGGTAACGTCAGATTTGACTAAGAGTAATTAATTCAATTTAAATCAGTGGCTTCGTCTTAGATACATAACAATAATTACTTTCATTTCAACTTTGAGCGTCTACCGTTCCTTATTAAATGAAATGAAATTCAGTTTAAGTAAATAGCGCGCAACATTTGCCGATAAACGACGTGCATTTTCAACAAATACGAGCTTTAACTTCCTACAAGCATTTTGTAACAAGTAATTTTAAGAAATCTGTTTATCATTATTTATATTTCATTCCTGCAGCACCATTAAAGCACATAAATCCTCTCTTACGATCAGTTTTGTACTATTACCCGCCTTACCACATTTGCAAATCGAATAGGTGAGAATTTCTCGAAATGGTTGTGGCAAATAAATACAAACCAAGTATTAAAATAATCTTTAATTACAACAACAAAACAATTTTTAATAAATAATGAGGTAGAAATAAATTATAAACAAATTTAAAATTCAAACGCGCCAACAAAATATAAGCAAAACCGAAGAGACACACGTAAATAATGGATCACACATATAGCCAGCAGATGCCGAGGAAGATTTAATTGAAAAGTCCGTTATATTATACGATTCCGTCATATTAAGTACTTCTTCCACAACACAAATATCATCTACGTGCGAATCTATATCGCTAAGGCTACAATTGAAAGTTAAACACACAGTGATATTCCTATCAGTAAAATAGTCAAACATATTTATAAAAGAATCACAGGTAAAAGAGTTGTGGGCCAAAAAAATTTCCTTGATATTTGGTATTTTTCCGTACATCAAACGGAAATCTAAATTCGTCAAGTTATTGAAACTGAGATCGATAACTCTGAGGGAAGTCTGAACTTCCGCTTTTAACGGCAGCCTAAACTCCGCAATTACGTTTTTGCTTAACCACAGAACGTGTAATTTTTCAAGTTTATCAAAAAATGTAAAATCTATCAGATCAAAATAGTTTTGTGTCAGTTCTAAAACCTGCAAAGAATCCAAGCCGATGAAGCCGTAAGGCTTGACGGAGGATAATTCGTTGTTTCCTAAATATAAGTATCTCAGGTTCTTCAACCCGTTGAAGGAACTCACTTGAATTTCCCTTAAGTGGTTAAATCTTAATTGTAAATCTATCAGACTAGTCAATGGTCTAAAGTTGTACTGTACTAAGAAGCTAATACTGTTATTGTTTAAATAGAGATATTGCAAACCTCGCATGTTGTGGAAGGCATTTTGGTGGATTTCGTAAATATTGTTGTGTTCTATATACAAAATTTTCAGGTTCGTCAAATGTGCGAATATTTTGTCCTCCAACTTTTTCAAATCGTTATTATTTAGGTACAGGTATTTGAGGTTTATCAGTCCGCTAAACGCATAAGGTTGGATGTAAAATATTTGATTTTTGTTTAGGTTTAAAATATCCAAGTTCATCAAATCCGAAAATATATTATTCGTCAGTATATTGATAAAATTCGAACTTAAATCCAATTGGAGCAGTCTTTTCAAGTTGCTGAAACATTTGGGCTCTAGGTAGTCGATGGCGTTACCGCGCAAATTTAACACTTTTAACAGGAAAAAGTTACTAAACGCGAATTTTCTCAGGCTGTTTATATCGGAATACGGTAATTCTAAAATGCTGACATTGTTTCGAGGGAATCGAAACGTTTTTTCGTCGATTACATTCAACGTGCAATTGAGGCATCGTATCCAGTGCGTTCTGTTCAAAGGCCGATCGAAATGTTGAAAGTAATCGGAGTCGACGTTGGTGCAGGTGATCTGCGGCCACTTCAAAACGCTGAGATGCGTCTGGCAAGATTCCTCACTTTCCAAATGGGTCGACTGCAGAAACATAAGTACGGGGATTATGTGAATCCATCTTGCCATCGTTGCTGGAAAATGTTAAAATAGGAATTAATATGTGCCTCGTTTATAGCCATGTGTTTTTTCAAATTCAATCCGTAAATGTTTTCTTTCGGCGTTATTGACACCGGCAAGCAAAATATTTCACTATCGAAGAAGTATTAAACTGTTGCGCAAAGTATCGCTAAGCGAACGTCGCAATCGGATTTGTGTTTATCGATGTATTGTGAAAATCGTTTCGTAACTTGGAGCAAAATTGGGAACGTTTCGTCGGCTATACCGGCTTCAATTTTATCGAATTGTTTAGTTATTGCATTATAATCGAAATAAAAAAAAAAGATAAAAATAAGAAAGTTTAAAAAAGAAAGTGTCAAGAAAATAGGAGCAGTAGCTAGTAAAAGGGTAATTAATGGAAGTATTGATAATATTTCCAGATAATTTAAGATATCTATAAACAGGTTTTGATATGGTACTTGACTTAAAATTTGCTTACGGCAAGCGCTACAAAAATTTTTAGATAAATCTAAGTTTGCAAATCAAAGATCGCATGCAATTCGACCACACGATAGAGTGGTCAAATTGTTTTTTAACGGTAAGAAATTTCGTCTCAATTTTATAGCCGCTCATGAAACACATCTAAAATTCTTAAACATGAACTAATGGGACGCGGTTCGTGAAACAAAATCTGGGGACAATGCAATAACTAATACAGACAGCAAAATTAAATAAACTTATTTTTCCAAAAAAGAATAATTTCTCTTAGTTTTGGAGTTTTGGACCTCCTGACGGGACCCATAGATCAATAGCATAAAAGCATAGGCATTCTAAAGAAAGCAACAGCTGAAGATTTGCTTTTTTTGCAAGCAGCAATTCTTCAGCTACATATCGATGATTTGTTAAACCTGATCTATAACCGGACCACGTATAACAATTATTTAGGATACAACCTACACATTTTCTGCATCTCGAAGATCGGGGGAGCTGGGGTTTACTGATTAATGAAAGTTATATATGTACATAGGGATGGTTAGAAAGATTAAGGCATTAAATGATGGAATCTCACCTGAAAATGTTTCGCCTCAGACTAAGCTACAGTGGTATTTTAAGATTTAAACACATATTTGCGGCAAGCAATCCGAGATATTTAAACTACTTAAATTAAATATGAAAGTGGTTACGCTAAGTTTTTAAAAAGCTATTGGCTACCTACCGGTTTCAACGATACTGCCACTGTGTCAAAAAAAGATAGGTTTGACGAAAAACGTTTTTGGTATATATGACGGATTTTTGTTGAGCTCGGTAATCGTTTTTTTTTAAATATTATTAACCTATGCTATATATAAACTATCCCTAACGCATTTGATCCTCGATTCATATTTTTTTAGTTCCCTTTCTTTTTCTTTTCATGTTTCCTTCTCTTTCTGTTAGTACGTCCAGGTTGTATAATAATCACATTTATTTTTAATTATAGAAAATTCTGCAATTAACGTAATGCTAGCTAGATTTTTGCACATACAGATTGTTTGTGATCTAGATGCAATATTAATCAATAGAATAGCACATAATTTGTAATGCTAGTTTGTAACGTTGATGTTAGGAAGTCATGAAAACATTACAATAAACTTTACAATTACTTTCAAAATCTACATTTTCGATAATTTACTAACGCGCCTCACTTCCATTCTACTAATTCGGGAGAAAGACAAAATAAAAAAGGGAATTTTACATTAACATAATACATAATACAACGTTAAGTAGATTCTTTATAGTTCGGACTATTTTAAAAATTACTGTAGAATTTTTTGGACGCTTTGACTCCATGGCAATCGTATTTAGATACTTCCTCGGATTTTATTACATAAATTCTTGCCTAACAGACCGTGTGCAAAGTGCACTTTTTGAGTCTGCGGTTAACAGGTTCAAGTAAGCGGTTCAATATTTATTTTTCCCACGGAATATTACCACTGTAACTCGACTCAAATCTCGCTTGCCAATAATGGCGTGCGGTATAATTACGTGCCAAACCAGAACGATACAACAATGTTACTTTACGATTGTAATTTTTGCGTCGGCAAATGAAGAGAAAAGAATATTATATGAAGAATGCAAGTGAGTCGTTTTTTTCTATGGCTAGAATCAACAGGTCGATGATGCTTCATTTTATACATTCTGAAGAGGTGACTGAGAATTTGTTTCTGTGCCAGCAGAACCAAATGCTTCACACAGTTAGCAAAAAAATTAATTATCAAAAACTCAAAATCAATTGGATGGAAGATGAGGTTTTAATAATGAAGAAAAACCCTACAAGCGTTTTTTTTTGCATGTCTAGCCTGATACATTTTATAGGTAATGCTTAAAGACGCCAATTTCTGACTAGCATTTGAAAGATATTGACATGAATATGGAACTGTTTGTATCAAAAAATGATAGTTTGAGCTGATATCTGCAGTTTTGATGCGGTTTTATCTTCGAAATGTGTCGGATGAACCGATTTTGACTGGAATCTGTTTGAAAAATGAAAAAAAAAACCTACTATCAATCCAAAAAACTGGGTTTTCAAGTAGTTATCTGCAATGTTGGTCAAATTGCATTCGTAAAAGTGTAGTCCGGTAGTAGAAAATAATTGAAATTAAATTTTTACATTAACTTAATATTGTAGCAATATTGGAAAATACTTAATTTTATTTGGAATGTTTTAGGGAATAATAACACCTAACGAAAATGTTAGTCCAATATTCAAACAACAACATTTTCTATTATTAAATTTTTGAGTCTACCCAATCAGGCCAAACTGATAAAATATTTACTACAATATAAAGTAGGAATATAAAGCCAATCAATGATTTTCTAAGTAAATAATTTAAAGAATTCATCTCTTTTAAGTTTGAAACATGCTTATAGGGGACAGATTATTATTAAAAAGATGTGCATATAGTTTATTTAGTACATGTTCAACAAATAAACAATATACTAATGTATCTATATAAATTATTCCTATTACGGTCTCAAATATTGCGTTAATTGTGGCCACTGTCGTTTTGAGTGCTGCTTTTTCTTTGGATCTGTCAGAGGTTTGCTGTAAATGATCATACTTGATCAGTTGTTTTATCAAAAGGAACTAATATTCAACACAGCACGCTCTCTTAAAAATACACTTAATTGCACAGCTAGGAGGTTTGGAAAAGTCAGGTCCCTCAAATTGGTTTTATCACACTCGCTATAAATCGCGTTTGGATTAATAATTTATTTAGGTTTGAGAGAACCCGTAAAATTTAAAGCAATTCTAAAAAATATTAATTCCGAATCTCAAGACACTGCAAGGGATCGAAGGCACGTAAATTTTAATGAGCTTGTTTTTAAGATAAAGAAATACAATTTCATTAAATTCCACTTAAATATATTAAAAAAAGGGAAGCGGGATAAAAGTCAAGAGCTGTTTTATTGGTGGCTTATTATGCATTTACATTCACATTTAAAGGTATCAGGCAGCAGATTAAAAGCTATAATTTGTCAGATCCGTAAAAGAACCAGTTTGTTGTAAATGACAAACGGCAGATGCTCACTATTATATTAATGGCGATCGAAGTGCGTTTGGGTTGAACACTTCCGTAGCCATACGCATTTTTGTTTTATTTTCGACAATAATTTATTACTTTTAACTTTATTGCGATTGCGGCCGAAGCTTCGATCAAACGCGTTTTCTGAGATGGTTTTGCGGAAAATTTGTTGATTAGATGAAAACAAAATGGCAAATCACGGTCTGCATCGTGACTGCGAGACCGTGAAGAAGGTCACCACAAGAATTTTAATATGATAAACGCTGCACTTTATACAGTGCCATTTGAGATCTGCCATGTTAGAGTATAAAGCATTTTAAAAGTCGCCAGATCGTAAACCGATACTTTGCTTTGTTGTTGGGGTTTTGTCGTTGAGGTATTATTTGCAAGCTCCGCGCACCATGGCAAATAGAAATCCAAGTGGCGGTGCTCATATTATACGTATATTATTGTAGCAAAGATTAATTTGTATTTGTCTGCAGTGCAAAAAAAAAGAGAAAGCCCTACACCAAAAGTAAACATTTTCGATAATTTAATTTATAAGGTTTTTGTACTGATTTTTGAAGAATTTTCTGAAATTTTGTTAAAATCTCGAAAATATTGTCTGACTCACAAAAAATCGATTGATCACAAAAGTACTATATGGTCATGTTGAAACTGTCATTGCAGAACAAAGAAATAATTGAGAAGTTCATTTTTAATTTAATAAAGTGCAAATCGGTTTTTATCAATTCCAGACATATCCAAAAGTTCTTCATATTTTTCTCGAAATTAATTTAAGTATATGTTTGTATGTGTATGTGTATGTGTTTTAATTTCCAAAATTACAAATATAAACTACTGATATTTCAAGAAATTAACGTGTTATAATAAAAATTTGACGGATCTACAATAAATTTTACACAGCTTTTCTTTTTATTTGTTATCATAATATCCACTGAACCAAAAAAATGACGTTATAAAAGCTGCAGCGAACACAATTTACAGTCTCACTGACTGCAGAGTACCAGCATAGCGTTGGAAGATACGAAAATGAGATTTTATATGGCCAATATTTTCAAAACTTATTATTATTATTATGGAATTGGAGGTGAAATCCTTTACCGACAGCCTGCGTAGCAAGCACACAGATGCCCCGCTTAATCATAATATATTCTATATATTGTGAAATTTGTTAATATCTTATAAACATGTCAGTGTGTTTAATCTGGTCCTCATTCAAATAGTCTTCGAAAATTGGTGTTTTCTTTCCTTATTGCGGTTGTATATTATATTTGGACATTCCCTGATTATGTGAACGACAATTAGTAAAACTAACTAACAAAAGAATTTATAGTTATTTTCAAGGTTAGATTAGAACCTCCAAATTAAAAATGTTTGCAATAAAATTAAATATTTTATGTAAAAAACGGTAAGACTAAGCTATAAAACATTACACTGTAATTGTACTATAAATATAATAAATAATAAAATAACACTATACTTTTATGATAGAGCTATTTTATTTAAAATATGAAAAAATTTTCGCTATACCTCCGATATTTTCTGAGATACGATAATGTTCAAAGAGGAAAGGGTCACCACATTATTTACTTTGATATACTGGATTTATTTTGTACAGTATTGTAGTCGGAGGATGAAGTAAATTCCGAAACGTCAACAAACAAGAAATCCTGTTTGTATTTAAATTAGAATGAAAGAATAATTTCTTTAAATACAATAAATTATAAGTATAATATTGATAAATAATGAAGAAAACAAAATAGGGCAAATAATTGTATTGCTTAATTTAAATAAAAAAAAAACATAAATAAAAAAACTGCGCACATTTTTTCTTTTTTTCATAATTGCTTCATATTTTCGTGAATTACATTTCCTTTATTATAAATGATAGGCACGTGGGAACGCAAAGGCCATGTAAGAAATAGACGAAAGCACATCTTTCGCATTTTTTGTACTCTTTATATTTAACTTGAACACACAAGGGCTATTTTTTCACAATCCCTCAATATTTACACAAACACAAAGCGCAAACCCATCCAACTTTAATAACATCATCACGGACACGGATACTTACAAAGTTCATTAAACAAATGCCCGGGCCCTCCGCTGAGACTTGAAAACACCAAAAACTATATCGTCACATTTTTAATAAAAAAAAAAAACATGAACGCCCGAGAACGTCCTGCGCTTTATTCACATTATTCCGGCCAAATTCACACGCTCAGTCGTTAAAACTTTCTTTCGCAACCACCGAGTTTCGAGGCAGATGGAGTAGTGGAACCGTTTTTTATTTTCACGACCAGAGTCACTCGACGATAATTACGGAAAGATCGACGCCGGGGAAGGAGCGTTTACCTTTTTAAAACTTCGCCATAGAGCGGCGGCAGCGCTGAGCGGACCAATGCGTTGCGTTTGTGCAGTAGCGGTGCGCGAGGGTTTGCCGGTTTTTTTATCCGCGTCCCCAGAACGGAAGGTGCATTGCGATTCAGATGTCGATCGATTGCGGGGACATATGAATCGAACTTTTAATCGATTAGTATGCGCCGGTCCTTTTTGGGAAGTTGTTTTATAACAATATATACCGGAGAAGAATCCGCCTTAATTGATGACGAATGTGATGCGTCTCTCACGAATGTGTGTTGGATGGCGGTACTGAGATAAACTCATCGTGTTGGTATTACTTATTGCGTCATTATTCCTCTTTGATATTGTGTGGTAACCATTGTGAAAATTAATAAATGAAAACTATGCCTGTATTGGTAACAGTTACGGGATGATTCTCGTCCTCCCGAAAAAGATATTTATTTTTTATAAAAACCCAGCTCAAAACATTATACGTTTAATATCTAAAGAGGTTGTTAAATTATTTTACTAGAAGACAGAACGTTTCAGACAGTCACTCTAGAGATAAATTGAAAGTTAGGTTATTTTAGTCTTAACGTCTTTATTTTTCAACTTGGCGAAGATTAACATAGCTGTTAACCGAGCGTGTAATTTTGCAAATTTTTAACAAAATAGTCTATATGGCACATTAAAAGAAAAATACGAGACACTAAAATACATGGAGAAAGTCACACAATTTTAACCTAAGACATTATTATAATTATAGTTATAGTTATAGTTATAGTTATTCAGAAAGTCTTGCCTTATAGGAGGGCAAACCAAGATTTTCATTTTTTTTTCTACACATGCATTTTAAAAACTTTTGCAGTCATATACTACAACCCACGCTTAAATAATGATATTGTGTCTTTCGACGCAATTTATATCTAACATTATCCCTAGTTCTTAACCCGTAAATAATACACGAATTTCAACTTTTCGCAACTTATTTTTATAAATAGGAGTTTCGATATTCAATTTAATGGCTTTTTCCATTTTTACTTTACTATTTGCAGTCAAAAACTCTTCAATTTCGACAAGTGATAAGAAACATTAAACTGGTTTTTTAAATAACAGGGATTCGAGACAAAAGTACACCTTACAATTCCGACATAATGATAACTTAGATATTAGAGAGCGACAGAAATCTTGATATTTTCTAATTTGTAGTCTGAATATCGGTTTAATTGATCTAAGACAGTACAAACTAAAAAATGTAAGTTACTAAAGTCACATTTTTGGGAGCAAATTTATTCAAACTATTTTGTACATCCAGTATAAGATGTGGCAAGCGAATCGGTCTTCGCTTATCATATCCCATACATGTAGAGTCGACGACCATTGTGAACCAACAAAAATGAATACATGACTCATCACTGAAAATAACTTGGTTCCCGTGAGTCTATTCTTGACACCATGTTAAACGTGACTGCCTCTAAATAGTAAAACCAAGTAACTGATCGCCGCGATCACCGCTTCTTCTTAAAATCCAAATATCGCATCACTTAATTAATAATACACCTCACGTCGTCTTATAGCGCATCTCGCTCTGCAAAATGTCCAAATACAACAAAACAAATATCCGGATATAGCTATTTTTGTGCGGTCAAGGTGCATTTGTACAGCGTAAGTGCTCACAATTTAAATAAATTTAAATGTATGAACCAATTATGCATGGATGAAGTGTGCTGAAAGTGTCACTTTGAAACATCAGTTTCCTTACCCATGTTGAGAAACTTCTTAAGTCACTCGCTTATTAAGCACTCGCTCAGTTGCCCGCCCTCTGCTCGTGCCAAATCGAACTGACTACGTCACCAAAATGACGTTTCTCCAAATTGCTATTATATACTATTATGTTGTTATTAATGGTAAAAAGTACAGTTACTAGCCCTTTCTTAGATTCAAAAATCATAATGATAATTAGGTCTACCACTGGCAATTGAGACGAATTTGCAGTTCATTTTTTAAGTGGCATGATCGATCAAAGCCACCTTTAGTTACTTTCAAATTTATATCCCTCGAAATTATTCAACAAAGTAAATGTTTCGAAGAATCACAGTGGTTAAAAAACAGCGAAGGTCACAAAATATTTGTTGCTAACAAGTAATAAAACTTTGTCCTCTAGGTAACTAAATCAATAAATCAACATAGGTGAATTTACGATTGGTAATGAGCTGATTAGAGTGAAAAGTACATTTTAGTTTAAACTAACCTTTGTAATTCTGTAATTAGGATAAAACTACCGATTAATTTTTTGTCGCAAACTGGGACCCCCGGGACAGCTACTGCATTGTTGCAGCCGGCGCGTTATAATCTAGTCAAGGTCAAATCTTGCACGATTTCGATTCGGGTATTCTCATCTACATGGCTTTGTACTTTCCGGGAACTTTGGAGAATAGGTCTTTACTGGTATGGTCTGTTCATAGCTATAAGAAAGTGACCAATTGCTTTTGAATGGGATTATTAACATACAATGCAACAAGATTATTACCTAAAGTTTCGAAATTTAAATTCAGGTAAAATTGTAGTCCGTAATAGAAAATAATTTTATACCTACCTGTGTTTAATATTCTTTCGTTTGGTATACTACTTAGTTTAAGTTTATTAGTAATCATTCTTATTTCGTGTGTAATACAGCGTGTGTTGAATCGTGTGCGAATTATGCAAAATATATGCGAGTCCAGCTCCCACCCAAATGTAGAAAACACTATTCTATTGGGACTAAGGAAGTTATAAACAATGTTTATTTGACTCCCATTGCACGTGGCGCCAGCAAGCAAGCATCTTTAGCAGAAACGGCCACATTGACGAAAATTCCAACATCAACGGTATGAGAAATTGTGAATAATCCCATTTCAGCGAGGAAAAAAAGAAGCGATGCTGATATTTTCTCGAGTGTAGATGAAAGTAATAAAGATATAATACGGCGTAAAATTTACCAGTTATAGGAACAAAGCGTGCCTATATTAGATATCTTAATTAATTAATTAATTAATCTTTTAGAATTCGGAAATGGCGACTGGAATATCTAGAAAAAAATAGGATTTACAGAGAACAACAAAGGCCAATTATTTAATTGGATGAAACCTGGTTCGACACTTATGAAAAGGGTTGTCTCAACTGATAAGTGTAAAACAAACGCGCCACCAAAAAGAGGTACAAGAATAACTATTTTGGATGCTGGCTCTAAAGATGGTTGGATTCCAAATGACCTTTCTCTCTCTGCGAAAAATGTTAAAGATTCTTCTCTGGATTTCTATGAAGACACCACCGCTGATTTGTATCAAAGTTGGTAATAGCGTAATTGTAATGGACAATGCAAGTTATCACAGCAGACAGTTGACTAAAATCTCTTCCTCATGTGACACAAAACCAACAATCCAAAACTACATTTATAATAACGACATTTATTTTCAGGAAGATTATACCAAAAAGCAATTAATTGAGGTTCTACAAAGCTTGAACTTACAAAAGGAATACGTCTGTGATAATTATGCAAAAAATCTAGGGCATACAGTTACACCTTACCACTTTATATTTAATCACATTGGACGTGTTTGGCACCAACTGAAATCTGCCATTCGTCGTAACAATGTTTTTCCCCGTGTTAACTCCAATGTCCTCAAACTTATAGAAACCGAAGTTTTTAACATCCCTCCACAAAGTTGGGCCAATTCTGTTAAACATATAGAAAAAGCAGAACAATCGTATATTCATATTGCAAACAATATAGAACAAGTAATAGAACAGGCGGTGATAACGATAGTGATACTGATATATTATGTGAATAATTTTAAGTAATTTAAGTAGGTAATAAAAATAATTTGTAATTTTATTTTATATTTAAACATAAATACATACATTAATAAATAAATATTCTTTAGTATCTTTCCTAACAAAACTGCAAATAATTAAATTCTAAGCAAAGTACGGACCTGTTCGGCCATATTTCATTCTTACAGCTTGCCCGGGTCTCTCCTTAATTCGTATCAGTTAGTCACTTTCTTATATCTATGAACAGACTTTACCTAATTTTTTTTAGAATTAATACGGAGTGTCCGCACAAAGGCATTAATGAATTTATCCACCGAACGTCATGAACTCTAACGTTTTTCTTGAAACGACACATTTTTTAATTTATATGCTACCTACAATGTATAAGATTAAAGCATTCTGTATATAAAACCTAGCGGCTCTGTAAAATAAGTAACGATTTCATTCAATCAATTTATTATTAATCAATTAATCAATTTTCTGGCACCGCAGGTTGGGAGAGATTGAATGTTGTTGGTAGATACTTAAAACACTGATGGTATCTTCCCATGTGTCCGTTCTGGTGGTTTTGCAACCCAGTGAATGTATTGGTGCTTATTTAAAACAATGTATCCAAAAACTAGTGACGGTAGAAAAAGTTAAGTACTTACTTCTTCCTAATCCTGACTACTTCAGAAACTCGATTATTAACGCTTATAAACGAGTTTGTTAAGGCACGAACGGAACCCAGCGAAATTAGTTTTTATTGTCTGAAGAAGCTTATAGCGTGCCATACTTTATCTGCGACCATTAGTTTTCGGGAATATTTTTGCATAACAACATGAATACATTCACTGATATATGATGCGACTCCCAAAACTGACAAAAGTCAAAGTGAATTAAAACTAGTGAAAACACTCGGTTGCTGTCAAGCCGTGACTAAAGTACAGGACACGCACTGACCCGCGACAGTGTTTAATGAAGCCATGCATGTCTGGTTAGTACATAATTGGGATAGTGGGAAAGTATACTGTTATATAGGGCATTTTATGGAATATTTGGAAATTTTATAGAATGCCTATGTTGTATTAGGGAAGGTAAGTAAAAAAATAATGGACCAAGTGTGTTTTATGAAGAAAAGCCAACCCACAACTAAAAAAAAGAGGGACAAGAGGGACATGGATTTAATTTTCTCAATTTTGGTTAGTATTTGCGTCTTTTCTCGTTTCTTATAATCTGATTTGGCTTAAGACAAATTAGTTTGTGCTGAAATCGGGTTTGAATGGTTACAAATACAGCAGGGGATTTAAGATTGAACAAATTAAAAGTATTTTTTAGTAGTTTTTAGTAGTTTGACGTTGGTTCATTCTGGCTCTCAAGTGACTCAGTGGATGTATTCGTCGTGGTTTCCAGAAAATCAGAAAATAATAGTCGTAGAAAAAGTTTAGTACTTATGCGACAAGTCTATAAACTACTTCAGTCACTCATTTATTAAACATTTTCTAGGCAGTTATCCATTCCACGTGCCTTTTGAGGAATAGTAATAATTCCGCTGAATCCACGATCACATCTTCATGTTGTAACAATATGCGTTCAATTGTTACGGGATAAAGGAAATTGTAATGGCAAGTTCCGCCTAATTAAAGCGTAGAATTCGTAACTATCGGAGCGGTACGTTAAATGACATGAATGATTCAGCTGATTAGCGTTAATAGAAGATGTAAAAATGGCAGATAACAATAATTTATATTTCAATTACATACCCATCCCACGTTTGAGATATACCATAACGAGCTTCAATAAAATGTATAAGAAATACTTCGGAGTTCGGCGTTTAGACCTGAGCCTGTACGTGAGAGAATTTAAGAATCTTGTGGAGAAGGCTTCTTGCAGTTGATGGTATTGGAATGTTTACATCATTCCATGTAATTTTAAGGAAGTTCTAAGTTTTAAAATATTAAAAGTAATTCTTATGATGGGACTATTATGAGGGAAAGAATTAAAGCAGACAATTTTAGATGCTGTACCTCAGTCGGACAGTACAACTGTACCACAGTTAAACTTAAACAAAACTATTTCATATGTAAGGGATTATGGCAAAAATAACAACTCGGAAAACGCGACGAAGCCTAATTGAAGTGATCGAAAGTCAATGGTCGATAACATCTCAATAACATAGTCACACCGTTAAAACTAAATGTATTAGGAGAATTAGAAAAGAGTTAAGCGCCAAAGAGTTACACTACCTGCGGAGAAAAGCAAATTCGTTTTTTAGTTTTTAACTTCCATAATTATTTCCATTTTCCATATTATTTTTTTTATTTATCGTTGGCGATGCCGTTACTTACTTTTTTAAATAACATACGGATAACACTTTTAAAAACTGTACAGATATAGTTATAAGGTATAAATAATTTAATCTAGTATAATTTTTCAAAGAAACTTTCAGAAGGCACTTCAATACAATTTATAAATCTTCTGGATTGGTCCTACGTCGGTTATTGATAAAGAATTTCCTGACGTTTCACGAATCATCTTGTTAACTTCTGACGACAACCGATGCAGGAGGAATTCAGAAGATTTCTAAATAGCCCATCTACTATAGTTTGTGAGGTGCAGGAATGGATGACAGGTTTGTTAATTCGACTAATGAGACTAGCAGTTTAAAGAATGAAGATAAAGATACTTTATTTCCATAAGACTTGAGTGTTGGATATTGTCAGTGTAATACAAATATAAATAATATAAAATTGTGTTAGTATAATTAATTAATGATAATAATAATATATAATGTTAGATAAATAATAAATATAAAGACAATAACAAACAACGAAATACGTATTAAACGGTATTACAAGAAAGAAAATCCTTAATATCGTGATAGGCGAGGGGTAGCAATTTGTTTTTAGAGTGCATTTGAATTTTGTTTTACTAATTATCTCCTTCAGTTTTATAGGCAATTTGTTATAAATTTTTATGGTCAAAGCAAAAGGACTATTTGATGCAAGAGACAGTCGGCGATTAGGTATTTGTATGTTAAGATTAAGGTTAACATCATGCCCAAAATTTAGTGATTTTTGACACCAACATCTCTTTTGTTGTCTGTCCCCTTCTATTCAATGGTTGGGATAAATTTTTACATTATCAAGTGAAAATTTTATGCTATAACATTTGTCTCATAGACCATTTTTAAAATTTTGCTGGTTCCGTTGAATCCTCTGCAGATACGTTTCTGAATTTCTTGAAATATTATCGGCCTACATTAATAGGTGAAGTCTAGCCATTGTAGTTCGTTACCACCCAAGTTGTCACTCCATACCAAAACATCCTCCTGCATTGCTGCGAAGTCAGTAAGATTCGTAATGACTTTCATTTTCTCCGCCTGTTGAGAACCTTTAAACTTGGGTTTTACTGAATTGGAGATGATAGATTTTTTAGGCCACTGGTTTTAAAGTAGAACCTCAACATAACTGTTTTTGTTTTTCACTAAAATTTTATACGATATATGTGACGGCTAATATACAATGCAAATATAAAAATGATGTGTATGCATGATATTGAATTTTATATGACAATAGCTATCAAAAGCTTTTATCTTTTTAATATCAGAGATTTTGTAAATACATGGTACAACTTGCAAAGTTATGAAAATTCAAAAAAGAAAATTGTGTTGTTAATTTCTCATAAAAAAGTTAGATGGTTCTCAGGGGCCAGCGAATATGGAATTTCCTGTAGATTTTCATGATTTTCATTTCCTTGAATGGAAGCAAATATATAAAAAATATAATGCATATATCGGGCTAAAGTTTTATCCAGGCAAGATATTTCATTACTGAACAAATGGCCGTATATGAAATCGATATCACTACCCACAATATTTACACTAATACGGATATGTTTGCAACTGTCCTCTCAAATGCTTTATAAATCAATTGACAATAAGGAGTGGGTTGTCCTCAGGTGTGTACACTGTGAATGCTAATACTTGAAAATGTCGCCATGATTTATACTAACGCGTTAAAAGTCGGTCAAACCTTATACGTTCTTGAGCAACACGAGCAAAGCTTAAAACCTACAAGTGACATTTATTTCCTAGCTTGCCGGATTAGCATGTAAGATGATAAAGTAGTCTACCTCACGGGACAACCTGTTATTATATCGAACTTGCATGGCATTACATGTGAAAAAAAACAACGCAGTTCTTGTGCCACGTATTTTATTACTTATGTTGAATGTGACAATTACTATGATGATTGAATTTCAATATTGCAAATGTTTAGAAGCTAAAGAACCTTCTGTGTTACAATCAAATTAACTGGTTAGTAATAAAGTTGTTAGATAATATAAGAGCCATACCAGAAAGTTGATAAACCTCAGACAGCTCTGGCAGTATTATACAGAAGGGAATTATCTTCCACGCATGTAGCTACATACTAAACTGCACCTTGCACCTTTTTGTATCTCAAAGGCGATCTCTACATATACTACTCGTTAAATGTGTTAGATATTGCTTACTAAATAATTAAAAGCGGTAAGGATATGAAAACGTAGTAATATGTCAGCTATTGAATAATTTTATGCTCTGAAAATATTGTAAAATAAGTAATAAAGATAAATCTAATTTTGATTACAATTTTGTAATGTAATGATGCAGAATCATCTATTTCACTTATCTTTATTAAGAAAATCATTTCTTTTGCGATTATGTCAGAAAATAATATCAAAAACCCTGTTTAACGAATGAGGTAGAGCAAACAGTATTAAAAAAAAATAATTAAGCTTTAAAATACTCTTACTCTAAGTATGGTTAGTTTTGGTTAGTTTTAAAGAAAATTTTACAGAAATCGAATTTTAAAAATGAAGTTGCCATCTGATCTGATGGCATTTTCAGTAACTCAAAAATAATTTCCAAAATTTTCTCTTACTTATCTCGTTGCCCTTATTGAGATAGTGGGTATAATGGGATTTTTGAGATTTTATAAGGTTTTACGGTAATCTGTGTGAACTACTTTATAGAAATTTTCCAATAATTTTTAATACACAAGTACTTACGGGGCTTCGGACAGGAGTTGGTTCCTGGGCAGCTGCACCAAACCGCAAACCATTCATATAAACGTCCCACGAAAAATAATTTAACTTTGAAATTTTTTCGTTTCGTTTTATCTTAAATTTGGAAATGTCAACATCATAATACAAAAAATCGAAAGTTAGTAACAAAATAAACTTTGCAAATTGATACTGGAAATTATATAATAAAAGATCCCCAATCAACATTGCCAAATTATGCAAAAAGTAACTTTTTGGATTATTCACAACCATTCGACAGTCTAGCCAGCGGTATGGGTTAAACATTCAACCTATACTTGATACTTCATTTTTCGAGGTTTATAAAACGCAGTGGAAAACAAAATGTATCGGTTTAGCCTAACGAAATTAAAACAGTGATGTTGTGTCAAAAGGTTGAATACCATTAAAGCGTTAAAAATATGCGCCAGTTCTACTCGTAAAATGGTCTATCGACAGGGAGGTTCGATTGTTGTGGTGGTGTTGTGTTGGTTTTACGCAAAATGCGTATCTTCCTACGGTTTGGGACCTTGCCCAAAAATTGGATATATGGACCTTTTTAACATCACCGCCGTAAGTTGAAATTAAAGTCTCAAATCTAAACTTTTAATGGTGTTAAATTAAAAAAAATAATTTCCTGCATTTGAAAAGTAGGTGCGCTTTGCTCTGCACATTAATATTTCGAGTGAATTTGATTTCAAAAACCAATCCACTCATATGTTTCTTAAATCAGCTTAAAAATAGAACATTCAAATTTCATGTTGTTTTAAATATAGAAATATTTAAATATATTGTTTTAGCTTAGGTGTTACAACCTTTCGATGCAAAATTATAGGGATTAAAATATTGGTACTTTCTGCACATTTCTTTAACCTTTGCACCAGATAAACATCAACATTTTTACGGGAATGCGAAAATAGGGCACGGTATGCAGGAATAAATGACATTTAGAGCCATTCAATGTAAATCGAAGAAAACATTGTTATCAATTTTAATTATGCCTGATTGGTTATGTAAAACCTGATAATATCATGAGATTTCAATTTTTGAGGAATCTGACAGCCTACAAAGTTTTAAGTTGGTCGTTACTAAGTTGTAAACCATTCGTTTGGATCAGGTGCAACTGCAATTCACTCAAATCTAATTTCAACACTTTTCTGTTACAAAAGTTAAAATAACGTTAACTCTCGACGTATTTTTCTCTACAATGAGAGTAATCCAGTGTCCTCTTCGTACGAAAAATTTGGAAATTCTGTAACTCCAATTTTTCAAATTACGAAATAAAAAAAATCTCGTTTATTGCACTTAATAAAAAAGAATTATTTAATATGAATATTTATAAAAATGACACAATGACTATAAAGTTTGGATCAATTTTATATAATTTATGAAATATTAAATTATAAGTAAAAATGTAAATTTCGATAAAATTGCACACTTGAAATATTGAGAAACAAATATATTTGTTGCTCTGAATTTTTGGAGAACAAACTTTAATTGCTCGGGAAAATCAGTTAAAAGCATTTTTTAATTAATGGAAAATTATAAAAACAATTCAAGGAAGTAAGTAGATTGATAAGAAGATATAGGACTTCCTAAAATCTAGCAAATTGACCCTAGGAAACCTCACAACTTTTTCCGAAGCCTGCAAAACTTATATAATATTAGGACTTGTTTAGCCTCTGTACTGTGAGTACACTGAAAATTGTGTGATTTTTCCGCAACTCCAGACGTGTATGTCTTCTGAAGGTTGTTTCTTCAGCTGCGAATACCACTTCAAAACCGAGAGAATGCTGAATGAATGGTCCTAATAAAATTTATACAAAATAATAAAATGTTGTTAAGATGATACAATCTCCATTTTTTATTTCACGGTGTTTTTTGTCTGTAAAAGACCTTTTAATTGTGTAAGAAATAAGATTTTCAACCACATTTTCATATCCGAAAAAAAAGAGTGATTTTGTTGTCTTGAACGGTATCAAAAGTTTCTTTTTGAATTTGAAGATAAAATATTGCTTTTTATTCCCATTTATCACAACGCATAGTTGGTCATAATAGGAATTCCAACTCATCGTCAATCACATCAATTCAATTCATAGCCTCGATATCGAATATCTCATTAAAAAATAAGTACTAATAGAGTGCCAAGAACAATAAACCAAGTTTAAAAAATAGCAGAATTCTATGTAGCATGCCTGTTACATGTATTGTTACATGTTAGCGTTACATACATATTCCTATTTGACTTTGTTACTGCTATAAAGTGCTAAGTTAAAATACGAGAATTGCTTTCAATTCAATTTGGTATTACAGAATTATTATGGATGAATGTCTTTAGTTTACAGGTCACTGGTATGAAATTGAACGCTCATTTTATTTGATGGAACTCATATCGAGCTGTGTTAGAGTTGATCTCGAACTAAACGAAAGAGGCCAGTTAGAAGTAGACGTTTATTCAAGGAGCCGGATGTAAGTTCACTTGCAGTTATTTACAACACATTAATGGAAAAGTTTGAAGGTTTCAACATTTCATTTTTAAAAAGAGCTTCTTTATTCGAATTATTTTTATTCATTGTATGTCCTACATAATATCATTATTAGTTCACTTTGGTTCTTGTGAATTTTAGGTCGGGAATATTCTCGATAAGCGAGGGTATAGCGACCTCGACCAAAAAGGATCCAAGCATTCTTTTATACAAAGTTAGCAGCAGGCTTCCGCGAATTGTAAATCGTTACTTACCTGGAGCAGGATATTATCAGATTGTAAGGACCGATTACCGAAGATATGCTATCTTGTATTCATGCAGTAATTTTCATATTTTTCATATAGGTAAGCAATAAACTTTTAAGGAGCTGCTTTTCAATGCAAATTAATACGGAATTAACTTGCGATTCGATTTGTCAGTAAATTTCAATCAGAATTGGGATTTTCCAAGTTAAATTTTAGTGAAATAAAGAAATAGAGAATGCATGCATCGGTATGGAAATGCATGTGAAATGTCTGTTTTCATTTAATTCTAAGAGTTGTGGAACGTATTTTTAACTTAACAGGATTTTGGCACAATCATAGTTGGCTTATTACATTATATTAGCCGAGGTGCCTAACAGAGGCATAGATGAAGTCAAACTAGCCAAAACTAACCCTTCTGGTTTTTCTGTTACTAGTAGACCATTACCGACATTGTTGCATGTTACGGCCCGTCGGATGGGTTTGCCAACAGTTATTTGGTACCATGATTTCCTCTGCATTTTGTAATATGTAGCTCTCAGATGCACCGAGTAACACTGTACTGTTTAAATAAACCAAAATAAATCTGGCTTGTTTGCTGAAATTAAGACATGAATTCCACTACAACTACCAGATTTATTGCCTTGAGATTGATAATTTTAAAAACGCTTTTTAAAAATAAAACCGTACAGGTACTAGAGGCTGGTGGCTGATAATATAAGAACTTATGAAGCAACTAAAAAAAAAAGTTGAGCATGCGCGAGATTTAAAATCTCGTTTGGATGCGGCAAGCAATATTTTTCCAAAATATGCTTAGATCTCGTTAAATGTTCTGGGAAAACGACTTAAGTGTGTGGATATCGGTGTTTAGAAAGAAAATATTTACTTATTAACAACTTTTCGTTAGATTTCATCATCATTTTACTTTTGTCGATTTTCTTCCCATCAAGAAATAGTACCAATAAGTTATAATCACTTTACAAAGGCAAAAAATTAAACTTGGCCAACATAATGGTTAACCCCGTGGTAACTGGCTTTGAGATAAACATGTTTAGATAAACACCCGCTGTATTGATAAATCGGCCCTTAATCGTTGTTCTTAATGAATTCAGTTCGTGTATCTAATTTAAATTAATCGAAAGCTATAAAGGTAACAAATGCAATTATCATCGGGATTATCGAATGTCCCAATTTAAAGTTTCAATTCCATTAAATGAAGCCATTGTCTCTGAATAAATTCTTTTACGTTCTGTAATATTATTAAAGCTAATAAAAATGCGATTAGCACGCTTAAGTCGATAATATTGTAAGTAAAGTGTGTTAATCTTCGAAAGTTTTGAAGCGCGCAGCACAAAATGAAGACAATGTTGTAAGAAATAGCTATATTCGTGTCATCAATCAAATTAAGTGCTAACAAGTTACGTGTTTGAAAATTTAGTTATATTTTAAATGATATATATCAAGGTTAGTTCCACTTTTCAGATTTGCTCTGGATCTGGGCCCGCAAAAAGGAAATCGAAGCTGATTTACGAGTGAAAATTTACGAAATTTTGGCAATAAACAATCTCGATCCAGAGAGACTTACGTTACCAAAAAATAAGAACTGTACAGATGATTACTAATTAATAAAGTTATTTTTTATACACAATATTGTGTCGTCGTTTATTTTAATTTTTAATTATATAATGTTACAACAGCGATTGTAGTGGCTCCTTTCGGCGAATGTGCATACTGTTACTTTATTTCCGTCTAGCACTCGCGTTGTGTGAAGCTTTCCGTTTTCGACTGGTTTGGAACTTTGCATCTAGATGGCGGCACCTTGATAAATTTTAAACTTGAGTTTTTCTCATTAATTCACGAGAGCTACTAGCTAACATGCATGCTCACGCTCAATACTAAATTTTGGATATTAAAATGGGTGGTCTTTCATAGTGGTTATTGATATTTAGTAATAATAATAATAATAATAATAATAATAATAATAATAATAATAATAATAATAACTGGCCTTTATTAAAAAAAAGAAACAATATGTCCATTAACAGCATTTTACAACAAGCGAAGCTAACCATAGAGCTCAATAGTGGCACAATAGTATTCCAGCTTTCAATAGCTACTTTACTGAACCACAATATAGAACTAACATTTTTAAAACATTTTTAAATGCATTTAAATTAAATTAGTGAATTCTTGTAAGGGATCTCTGAAACATGACACTCTGATGTCGTTTCTACAGGATGCTTCTAGGAATAAGTCCATCTTTTAGCAAAGTCGACGAATAGAGATTATGTAGAATTTTCATGGTGAATGTGTTGAAATGTAGAGCTCTTCTTTGTTCAATTTTAAGCCAATAATGCAACAGATACATGGAAATATTTTCGGAGACCCATAATATAACGTACACAAGCATTTTGCAACCTCTGAATACGGCATCTGGACTCACCATAGTAGTTCAGATGTGAAATAACAAGTGACTCACATAATTGTTTCTTTATTTTAAAATTTAAAATATGCTTGTTACAATAAAAAAAATTAATAACATGTATGGCTTTTGATTTTTTTTTTAATTGACATGAAACCGAATATCACTATTTATGATATCTCCTAAGCTCCTTGCTGAATCAATAATGAAAAGTTAAGTTAACTAACATTACATCAATATTTTGTTTTAGAAGCTTAAATCTATTTTTATTTCTAAATATCATTAAACAATATTTTAATGGGTTGAGCGCTAGAAAGTTCACTAATCATAGTCAGATCATGGTTCATAAAATCCTCTGCATCCGCGGTATTATCAAAATCAAAACAACAATAAAAGTGGGTATCGTCCGTATATTCCTGAACCTTGAAAAAATTGAAAGATTTTAAAATATAAAAAATTTAATTCAAAAACAATATCGGAACCAAAATCAAACCCCAGAGAAAATTTCTATTTGCTCGGAACTTCTGCCCTCACAGTATATTTTTTGATATCGATTTGAAAGACAAAATGTAATCAGCTCATACGAATTAGATGAAAAACCATAGAAATTTAGCTTGCTATGATTCACCGTATCGAATGCCTTCGAAAAATCAAAAAGTGATAGGGTTCTCATTAGTTTCTTTACGGTACCCGGACAATATCATCAATTACATTTACAAGAGCACTCGCAGTACTTGATTTTCGTTTAAAACGACACTGACTTTCTGGTACTACTCCATTAACAACTATTTTTTAAATTATTCAATTTTATTTAGTGAGTTTTCGTAATCTATCTGCATCAAATTAAGAATGGTTGAGATGGAAATGAATTCTTGAAAAATTAAAAAAAAAGGTTTCTTTATAAAAAAAATTAAGATCCTTAAAAACCAATACAGTTTTCGTAAATATGTATTTGGGGTATAACATGTGGCATTTTATTGTGATAAATTGGTTAAGGCTTTCGTGGCCCCTTGATAAGCTATTATCTTGATTCGGGTTTAAAGGCCGTCGTCGGTTGGAATTACTTCTTAACCTTTCGCTAGCACGAGGGGCGAGCTTCTTCAGAGGTCCTTCCATCTCCGATATCTACGTCCAACATCGGAGATGGAAGGACCTCTGAAGAAGCTCGCCCCTCGTGCTAGCGAAACGTTAGGAAGTAATTCCAACCGACGACGGCCTTTAAACCCGAATCAAGATAATAGCTTATTTTATTGTGAGTTGATATTTGATGCAACTTTCGGGTACCATCTCAGAATTATAAAGAATAAATTAAAACTATGTCAATATGATTATCAAATATATGATATTAAAAATTTAGAAATTAATATAATAACCTGTTTCTTGTTCGTAAACGACAAAAATGTTTAACAAACAATATGCCGGACGACTACAAACATGGTACTAACAATTTATTCTATAGTTAGGGAAATGACATTTCACAAGTTCAGATTGACATTTCACTTTATTATAATAAATAAAATAATTGAAAATATAGTGACCCTTGCTGTATAGCATCCGATAAGAAAATTGCAAATATTTTTTTGCATAGAAGCTTTACATAATTCTATAAGACTTAAGGCAAAATATATCACGTCGTTGAAGATGTAATTTTATGTTCATTCCAAATATGTACAGGAAAATTTTAATTTAAAGTCAGTAACTCATAAACTGAGCACTCTATATGTCTGACATTTTCGAATTCCGCATGAAAAGTTGCATATAACAACTTGTTTTAACGATGAACATGTGTCCACTCTATTTATTGAACAAATCTTATTATGGTAAATAAGTTATGGGTTACTTTTCTCACAGATAAACCGCAAACAATTTTTAAATCTCAAAAGTAACAACTTTTCTTAATTTATTTTGAACTCAATTAACTCGATGGCCACCGAATAAAATAAAAAAGAATTAGAGAAGTTATTTTCCTTTTCGGGTTCAACTACAAATAAACAGTCATAAAAACATCTCATTTTGACCATAACGAAATTTTAATGGTGATACTGTATATTTGATAGGGGCGAAACCCGATTTGAGGCCAAACTAGTTTGTCCTGGGTCAGGTTTGGTGGTTACCATTGTTTAGTGTTTGTTTCTGGCTTTCTGGCAGATAAACCACTAAAGTAGAATTTTATGAACCGAAAATCAAAAAAATATTGCAGGATTTTCCATACATTTTCTATACAAAATGCTCATTTGGGTTACCGAGGTGATATGGATGGATTTCGTATTTTAATATAGAATTTATATTATTGAAGATTTTTGCGGTTTATCTGTGAGAAAAGTAACTCATAACTTATTTACGATAATAAGATTTGTTTAATAAATAGAGTGGACACATGTTCATCGTTAAAACAAGTTGTTATATGCAACTTTTCATGCGGAATTCGAAAATGTCAGTCATATAGAGTGTTCAGTTTATGAGTTACTGACTTTAAATTAAAATTTTCCTGTACATATTTGGAATGAACATAAAATTACATCTTCAACGACGTGATATATTTTGCCTTAAGTCTTATAGAATTATGTAAAGCTTCTATGCAAAAAAATATTTGCAATTTTCTTATCGGATGCTATACAGCAAGGGTCACTATATTTTCAATTATTTTATTTATTATAATAAAATGAAATGTCAATCTGAACTTGTGAAATGTCATTTCCCAAAATATAGAATAAATCGTTAGTACCATGTTTGTAGTCGTCCGGCATATTGTTTGCTAAACATTTTTGTCGTTTACGAACAAGAAACAGGTTATTATATTAATTTCTAAATTTTTAATATCATATATTTGATAATCATATTGACATAGTTTTAATTTATTCTTTATAATTCTGAGGTGGTACCCGAAATTTGCATCAAATATCAACTCACAATAAAATAAGCTATTATCTTGATTCGGGTTTAAAGGCCGTCGTCGGTTGGAATTACTTCCTAACGTTTCGCTAGCACGAGGGGCGAGCTTCTTCAGAGGTCCTTCCATCTCCGATGTTGGACGTAGATATCTAAATTTAAAATCTTTAAATTTTTGCAAGGTTCAGGAATATACATATATATATATATATATATATATATATATATATATATATATATATATATATATATATATATATATATATATTAAATATATATATATATATATATATATATATATATATATATATATATATATATATATATATATATATATATATATATATATATATATATATATATATATATATATATTAAATATATATATATATATATATATATATATATATATATATATATATATATATATATATATATATATATATATATATATATATATACATGCAAAATGTCATTTTTGAAGTAAAAGTCGTTCTGTTTTAGTTTCTGAATTCAATTACATAAAGTATCTATTACATTCTTGATAAGCTACAAAGACACACATATTTTTTTTTGTCCAGGAAGAGAGGACGTCACTGTACTCGTTACTAAAAATTGTTAATATAACTATTACATACATCTTATTTATCTTTTTAGGAAAAGGAATTTTTTGAAGTAGGCTTCTAAGTTGATCAAAAGGTAGGTATATTTCTTTACCATGTATCAAATCAAATTAAATTGGAATATTAAAACTATCAAAATCAGATGTCTAATAAGATAAAAAAAGAATGAAAATAAAAATATCCTCTGCATATTTACCCAGTTGCGTGTTTATGTATCATCCGTACGGCTTCATCAAATAATTTAATTACCCACGGCACTCCGTGTGTCATCCATCGATATAGGCGATTCTTACTTCTCCTAAAAGTTTTTACACCTGCGATGCACATCCGCGGCTTTTTTAAGCTCCACGGTCCTTCGAGCCGAGACTGCATTTCGCTCGACGAGCCGTCACCGTCAACCAATAGGCATGAGGAAATAGCGGTCACGTGAACAGTAGAACAGTCAGTCGGCCGTCGACTGTCGGTTGTTTATTTTCAGACACAGCATCTTGAATATGAGTTCGGCGCAGCGAGGTCCGCTCTCCTGGTAACGTTTTTTTCAATGCGCGTTCATTTTCGAAATCGGACGGCGACATTTTCGAAAATCGCGCTGGGTATTACTGCGAATTTTAGTTGGATTTTATTTGTTATAAACGAATGAGTCATGATAACGATCGAACGACGACGATTTGGTGCCGGCATGTGTGGTTGTTGATTGATAAGATTAAAATTATCAAAGTGACCGGGACGGTTTTGTGAGTTGGTCGTGCCACAGCTGATACGATAATGTTGGGCGTCTTGAAACGTCGCTGGAAACCAAAAAGGTATGCCAATGTGAAATTTCTGGCTATATTTAGGCCCGGCCTTGGTTTATCCAACGTGGTATGTTTATAACTTTAAAAATAGAACCATCCCGTCAAAATTTGTGAGATGCTTTACTTAAACTTTATTTTATGCTCGGGGAAATCGATTTCGCTTACTAGACAAAACGTACAAAAAAAATGCTGGAAAGCATCATATTTAGTGTAGGTCATCGTTGTGGGCCACCAGCATTTTTCATGACGTATTATTGATCGAGAACTGTCATATTCAATGCCACCCCATCTGGGGAACTCAGCTGTTCGCTGTGGCTGGTTATGCCGGCCAGCTATTGATTTTATCCTATTAACGTAACCCAAATGTATTTCGTCTAGAAAGTGCTGAAATGGAGTGCAAGTTTCAAAGGGTAAATAAAATAACGCAATTGGTTTTAAAAGCTGAATATCTGAAATATTTTTTGAACAACTAACTGGAATACAATACATCAGAACAGAAGACGCAATAATAAAATCGTAACGGAAGCAGCAAAAATGAAATCATGTCTCAATAACGTTGCCATGTTGCTAATTTAAACATGAATAAAATATAAAAAAGTATATATAAAAAACGAATGTATTAAATTAATTATTTGAAACAATTAAAATGTTCTTATGTTAAAAAATACAGGAAGTAATTGAATAAATATCAGTATTATCACCTCGGTTATTACATTATTACTTTACTTTATATTGACGAACGAAAACTAAGTTTGCTTTCCACGTCCTACATGTTTTTTGTTTCCTCAGCATTTGTTTGACTCTGTAAAACTTTTAATGCACTTAACATTAACTAAACAAATCCATTTATTGTATTTTGTGATTTCATACTTCCTTTCCACACGGATCTTAATTCAATGCCTGCGGTCTAGGTGTCCGTTTGAAAAATAAGTAAGAGTAGTAGTTGAATTTGGTCAGTTCAAGTTTAACTTACTTAACGTATGTTGTGATCTGATGTCTTGATAATGTGAATTGCGAATGCCAATAATTTGGCAGTCAAATTTAGAATGTGAGGGAGGAAAGAATAGAAACGCATTTGAAAAAATTATACTCATCCATATACATACATTTTAATATACAATTTTATATACAGATATCATCAGTTGAAATTGCTGCCAATTGCTGTATAAGGTTCAGCAGTGAGATTATTTCCAGAAAGTAAAGCTAGCTAAAATTTTTCAGAACTTAAATTACATTCACAAAATGCAGTATTTTTTAACCACTGTCGTCATCATATTTATTTTCTCTTGCTATATGGCGAATAACTGAACACACTCCATAAAAAAAACTAATTCTAATAGATCTGTTATACCAGCTCTGTGAAATCCGTGTTATCTGTGAAATTGGTGAAATATTTGTAAAATCATAACGTGTTCCCTGGAAGTTTTGATCATTTTTTATTAATCAAACTAAAATTTAAAAAGAAGTTTTTAATTCATTTGTAGATGTGTGTAACATTCGATTGGATCTTAACCAATTTTGAGAAATGCTATTCTTAAATTAAATGAACTTTACTGCTATGATCTTTAATTTTTTGGAGTATTCACTCAACCCAAAGGTTATTTTCGTTTTTCATTGTAATTTTTTCTTCAAGATATATTAATAATTTTAAAAATTCTTTCCCTTTTTTATAAATAAAATTAATAAGTTATAAACATAAATATAAATAATATGGGAAATATTATTTTATTTAAAATGACTGCAAACGCCCCTATTCTAAAAATATCACGCTAATTACAGTATAATGTCAAATTTTCATATTTGTTATTTGTTATATTAGTTAACGTTAATTATGTCACGACTCATCCCTACACCCATAGGAAGAAGATGCTCAGCCAGATTTTGCCGCGTCAGCTTTTAATCATATAAAACTGTTGTTGCGCTTATTTGTTGGTTAGTCAGTTGAATACGCTCTTGCGGTAAACAATTAATTTTGTAGTTTTGAAAAATAAAGTTTTTTTAAAAAGCGACTTTCGGTTTCCTGTTAGAAAAGTGGCGCAGTCGGTAGGATATTCCGATCGGTAGACTTTTCGTATCTACGATTTATCGGAATATTGGAACTTGTTGAGTGACTGGTGTAGGTGTTTAAGAAGATTTATCGAAAACCTGTCGGAGACATTTCATCAGCAGCTCATCGGAAATTGGTTCTCAAATCGTTCCGGTTTCGCAAGGAGGCAAAAATTTGGTAGGACCACATCGCCAACCTGAGAGACTGTCCCTTATAGAAAATGACCAGAGTCACATTGTTTTTTATGTAAGTGCAATTTTTAATGTCCGTAGAAGACTTAGCCGATATTTTATCTGATTTAAAAATCGTTTCAACTGACTCACATAGTAGTAGTAATCAAAATATTTCTATCGAAAACAGTATAAGAAATAATTTATATACAGATATGGCTAATAATTTTAAACCAGAATATTTAAACTGTGTACCTACTTTTGATGGGAACGCTAATGATTTAAATAGATATCTTGCTACTTGTGATAGCCTTATAACTGCTTTTTACGATCAAACTAATCCAAATAAATTTGAAAATATTTACTTAATTAATTGCCTTATTGGAAAATTAGTTGGCACAGCCAAAGTAGTAGTAAATATACAGAATGTTTCGACTTGGGAAGATCTAAAAGTCACTCTTGTAAGAAATTTCGCGGATCAACGTGATGAGGCTTGCCTCAACCGTGATTTAGTTATGCTACGGCAGCAACCTAACGAATCACCCAACCAATTTTATGATAAAGTATTATATATTCTAAATCTTCTTTGTTCGTACGTTGATAACCATGAACAGACGAACGCTGCGAAAGTTCTTAAAAGGAAGTTATATACAGACCTTGCCTTAAAAACATTTTTATCAGCGCTTAAAGAGCCTCTAGGTACGAATATACGTTGTATGCGTCCATCAAGTCTTGCTGAAGCTTTGCAGTTCGTCAATGACGAATACAACAATCAATACTTTCAAAATTACTCTAAAACACCTAAACCGCCGATACAAAATGTAAGACCTTCAAACCAAATACTACAAGACTCTTTTGTAAGACCAAATTTTAAGCCAAACGTTCTATATAATTTTAATAGTCAAACGCCAAATAATATCTTTAGAAGTCAACATTATTTTCCCTCGCAACCGATAAACATACAACCTAACCCGCAACAACCGAAGCACTTTACAAACTCACAAGTTTTCGGGAAACCCCAAAATCAAAATGTTTTCCGCCCTAATCAAAATAAACTGTTGCCAAAACCTACTCCAATGAGTATCACCACAAAAAATACTAGCAATAGTTTTAGAAACCCGTCAAATAACTTTAACCAACCCTCTAATTCAAGAACAGACTATTTTAAATCTTTTCCACAACAACCTAGGAACTTCACCTTTGAAGAATTGCATAACACCGAACAATATGGCGAAAACCCTGAAAAATTTTGCGAATATGTAGAACAAGAAACCGAAAACAATGACCCACCTTACACATTTGACCAAGACCACAATTTTCAAATTGAACAAGAAACAGAACAAAATTTTTCGAAACCGCCTCTACAAGACGACAATCCATAGACGATCGCGTATTTTGCCTTAACAATATAAACATTAGTAAATTACCTTATATCGTACTACCCGAACATAACCTTAAGTTTCTCATTGACTGTGGCTCATCAAGATCTTTTATCTCACCTGAATTAGCATTTAAGTATTACTCGAAAAATATAAAAGAAGATCCATTTATAGTGGCAAGAGGAAATCAGGTTTCAGCACATAAATATAGCACATTGTTACCCTCTTCCAAAATATTTAAATTGCCTAAGCAAAATAATTTAAAATTCTTTTTATTTAAATTTCATGACGTATTTGATGGATTAATTGGTGTAGATAATCTCCAATTTTTAAAAATAAATCTAGACTTTGCTAATGGTTATTTATACACCCCATATACTAAAATTAAACTACTCTATCGAAACACAAACAAAAATCTTAATCAAATCAATATCAGCCCTCGATGCGAACAAATTATCAAAATTAAAACATCTATAAAAAACGGTGAAATTATTATTCCCTATCAAAAAATTGGAAATTGTGAAATCCCCGAAAGTTTATCTATTTCGAAAAATGGTATAGCCTTAACCAGTATTTTAAATAACTCGACAGAAGAAGTTACCATCGATTTTTCTGAACCGTTAGTTGTAGAAAAATCTAACAGGGAATTCTTACAACAAATCGACCTAAATAATATTTGCGAATTTTCCTATAATCACGAACCAAAATTTGATATCTCTGAAACAATCCGTAGTGAGCATATGAATAATGAAGAAAAGTCGGAAATATTGAAACTCTGTAAAGAATACTCTGATATTTTCTACAATGAAAACACACCTTTAACTTTCACAAATGAAATAAAGCACGACATTCGAACATCAGATGAAACACCTATATACACAAAAACCTATAGATATCCGTACATACATAAAGCAGAAGTTGCGCGTCAAATTAAAAAAATGCTCGATCAAAAAATAATAAGGCCCAGTAATTCTCCTTGGTCATCCCCTATTTGGATTGTGCCTAAAAAATTGGACGCGAGTGGAACCAGAAAATGGCGTATATGTGTGGACTATCGCAAACTTAATGAAAAAACTATTGACGATAAGTATCCTTTGCCAAATATAACCGATTTGTTGGACAAATTGGGTAAATGTCAATATTTTTCTACATTAGATCTCGCCAGCGGATTTCACCAAATCCAAATGAGTGAAAAAGATGTGCCAAAAACAGCTTTTAATTGCGATCAAGGGCATTATGAATATCTGAGAATGCCTTTCGGGCTCAAAAATGCACCTGCAACCTTCCAGCGCGTAATGGACAACGTATTGCGCGGGCTCCAAAACGAACGGTGTGCGGTTTATTTAGACGACATTATTATTTATTCGACATCATTACAAGAACATGTAGAAAAATTACGCGATGTTTTCCAAA